GCGTATACCACCAAGTGAGTTGAATACATGTGTAGCAAAGGAATTCCAGAGGTTATTCTTCTCTCTACATAACTTACTCAGCCAGTTGATCTTGAAAGAGTGATTCAATATTTCGAAGGTTAGCACATCCAAACCACCATCCCTCTTGGTATTACATAGAATAACTTTTTTTAAATAATGGCGTCTGTTCTTCCAGATAAACCTGAATAAGATTTGATCTAATTTCTTGGAGACTACAGCCGGCATTTCTAGTGCTAGTGATAGATATACAGATCTTGATATTCCTTCAGCTTTGGATAACAGAATCCGTCCGTGTAAAGATAGATCCCTCATTAACCACATATTGAATTTTCTTTGTATCTGTTGAGTTATTGGTTCAAAGTTTAACTCAGAGCGCCTCTTCTCATTTTTGTCAAGTACAACACCCAAATATGTCACAGTTTGTTTAATGGGAATACCATTTAATTCTGCCAGATCACAGTGTTTGAGGGGAAAAAGCATAGATTTATTAAGGTTCATTGTCAGCCCAGAAACCTCCGAAAACTCTCTGATACACTGCACAGCTTTGACAAGTTCATTTTGGTTGGACAAAAAAATAGCTGTATCATCCGCTAACTGAGCTAGTTTGAATTCTCTACCTACGGCTGTCATACCCTGAAAGTTGCTTTTTTTAATATGTGTTGCCATAACCTGTGTAACCAGCAAAAACAAAAAGGGGCTTAGGGGACAACCTTGTCTGATTCCACGACCAATATTAAATCTGGGTGTTGTGCCATTTGTTATCTTAATTGAACTGTTACTTCCTTTATAAAGTGTTTGAACTGCCCTCAAAAATCTATTTCCAAAACCAAAACATCGAATAACTTTAAACATAAACTGGTGACTGACTGTATCAAATGCTTTATAGAAGTCCACAAACAGAATAAAAATTTCATCAGGTATGAATTCATTATAGTCTATCATATCCAGAATCAGACGAATATTATTTACAATATTTCTCCCTGGCATAAACCCAGATTGCTCCTCATCTATAATATCATCTAGTCCTATTTTCAATCTTTTAGCAAAGATGAGAGCAAACAGCTTTGCATCATTATTCAATAAACTAATCGGTCTCCAGTTTTCAGTGTTTAATTCATCTTTTTTTGGTTTTGGAATTAGTTTTATCAGTCCCTGTCTTAAAGTGTGGGGGAGTTCTTCCTTGTCTAAAGCTTCTTCAAATAGCTCAATTAAAAATGGAGCGATTGCTTGTTTAAAGTATTTATAAAATTCCCCTGTTATCCCGTCATTACCTGGGGCTTTGTTGTCCTTGAGGGAGTCGATGCATTTTTGTACCTCTGTTATCGTTATTTTTTGATCACACGTTACATGGAGGTCATCATCTATTCTTCTAATATTTGGTTGTATGGTCTGAAGAAATAGTGACATTTTATCTTCATTTAACAGGTCAGTCATATACAGCTTTTCATAAAAGCGTGCAACATATTGCAAAATTTGTTTTCCATTTTCACACACCGCGTCATGAATTTTAAGTTTGCAGAGAGAAGACATTTCGTAATTCCTTTTTTTCTAGATTAAAGAAATATTTGGTGCATTTTTCCCCTTGTTCAAGCCATTTCCTCCTGGATCTGATGAAGGCTCCTCTAGCTTTCCCCTCGTAAAGTTTGTCTAATTCAGTTTGTAGGTAAGCCAGTTGTTCTACCTCAGCACTGGTTGGGTCTGTTTTCTCAGATAATGGAATAATTTGGGTGACAAGTTGAAGTTCTTTTTCTTTATTATGTCTGCTGATTTTTCTACTTAACCTTATAGCTAACTTTCTTATTTCATATTTCATTAATTCCCAGTATAATCCAAAATTCTTTAGTAAATTTGCTTGTCTCCAACATTTGTCGATGATTATTTGGCTTTCCTTTACAAATTCCTTATTTTGTAGCAACGTTTTGTTTAATTTCCAATAATCTCTATTGACCCTCTGCCTGTCAGATCCAAGATGGAATTGAATTGATATAGCTTTGTGGTCTGTCAATATTGTGGGTTCTATTTTGATTGAGTCTACCTTATTTTCTAATTCAGCCGAAATTAACCAAAAATCTAAGCGAGATTGGCGGGATCTGTCCTTATTGCTCCATGTGAATACTTTTTCCTGTGGGTGTCTGTGTCTCCATATATCAATCAGGTTCATCCTGTTGCAGATATTTTCCAATTCGGTTATCTGTTTGGCTTTTGGAGGCCATCTGTCCAGACTACCATCAAATACTGTGTTGAAGTCTCCACCCCATAAGATCTCTGCTGAGGGAAACAGTGTCAGCCAAGGATTAATCTTATTTTCTAATGTTGAGAGAATTATGTTATTGAGGGATTTACTGTTTGACCCATATACATTAATCAGAATAACAGACGATTGGTTGATATCTGCCAAGAGAATGATCCACCTGCCATCCTTATCAGCGTCATGCTTTATAATTTTCCCACCATATTTCCCCTGTAGGATGGCGACCCCTGCTGATCGATTGCTGCCATGAGAAAGCCATACATTCCTTCCCCATTGACTTCTCCAATATGAGACATCAGTTTCAGAAGAGTGGGTGTCTTGAATGAAATAAAAATCTGCACCTTTATTCAGAAGAAATAAGAACAAGCTTTTCCTTTTCACTTCATTCTTAATACCTCTGACATTAACAGAAAAAATAGAGCAAACACTGAGGGTTGGCTACTGCAAGCAGACCAGACCACTTCCAAACTTAACTGAGATAGTTTAGTTTACCTCTCTTCATTAGTGCTTCATCACTCTATAAAGGATATAAAGGAAAAAAAAAAAAAAAAAAGAGGGGCATTGCCTCGGAGGAGTGATCGAAAAAAAAATTCATACTTCGATTCATTATTTCAATTATTTTAGCACGAGAGAGCTGTAATATAGGGAAAAAATAAATACATATATAAATAAATAAATAAATACCCCTGGTAGCCAGCCACACTCCCAGGTGTAGCTGATCCCCCTTGATTGCAGCAGCAGCAGACCAGCAGAAGAGTCACAACCTACCCCTCCCCCTTCTCATACACTCACTGCCCCAATTCTCCCCTGGCCTCTCTATCCCCCAGTCTCCTCCCTCACCAGTGAGACCAGAATTGCCAGCCCAAAGTTGTCCCTGTGGAGCAAACCCCCCAAGAAGAAAGTGTGTGTGCTATACAAGAAAAAGGACTCAGAGTAATGTCAGGTGAAGAGTGTATTGACAATGAGATGGCAAAAGCTCAGGCTGAAGATGCAGTTCTACAACAGTTGATTCATTACAAAAAGCAGGCTCTGGACCTCCCTGAAGACCGTGCTTTACAAAAATATGCCCCAGTTTGGTCACAGTTCCAGATGAGGAGGCCACGTTTGGTCAGAATCCCTCCTCCAAATTCAGATGCCCCTTGTGCCCCTCTTCAAACAACGCTAGCATCAAGGCCATATGAAAGAGTGGCTCTTAACATCCTGGGGCCCTTGCCAGAGACAGCTGACAAAAGAAAAAAACATTTTGATCATAATAGACTACTTTTTAAAGTGGACAGAAGCCTTCCCCCTGCCTAACCAGGAAGCCCACACTATTGCAAAGGTACTAATAGAGGAGTGGGTTTGTAGGCTTGGACCACCACATAGCATCCACTCTGACCAGGGGCAATCTTTTGAGTCAACTTTAAAGATTTATGTCAACTTCTCAATATTCACAAAATGAGAACTTTCCCATATCATCCCCAGTCAGATGGCCTCATTGAGCATTTCAGTCAGACACTGCTTTCTATGCTGTCATTGTTTGTGCAGGAAAACCAATCTAATTTGTACTCTTTGTTACCTTATGTGATGATGGCGTATCGTAGTAGTGTGCATGCAAGTACGGATTTTACCCCATATAAGGTATTGTATGGACAGGAAATGGTAAGCAGACCAACACCTATCAGGTGTAGGCAGCTGTCCGGAAAAGTCTGCATGAGGAGAGAATCCTACAAGAGAGAGGAGAGCACCTTTGTAGTCAAGAGACTATGATTGTACATTCTGAATCAAGGATGAGTCCTCTCCATCAGGGGAGGGAGGAGTGTAATGAGTAATGTTTTGGAGTCGATATCTCATCTTGAACACTTGAAGGAGATGGAGGCCCTGCATTTGTTTTTACTAATGACTTGATGACAGTCACCAGTGTTGGAATGGAAGGAACACAGTGCAGCTGTAAAAAAAAGGGGACTGAATGAGTGGGCGGATGGAAGAGAGACACTAGACTGCTGTTTTCTGTGGCCGTGGCCAGGGGACAGAGATGCTAATTATGAATGAGTCTGCTGTCTGTGACTTTTAGTGTCGCTGGCAGTGAAGATAGCGGAGTAGGGGGAGCAGTTCCTGCATAAGGAGGGGAGGCCTGTTGTCTCCTGAACTTAGAGAATAGGGTGGGTTAGTGAGTCCCTGTACTGGAGCCACAGAGCTGTCTGCATGCCTGGCTGTACCTGCGTGCTTTTTCCCCCCACCGACGCCTTGCTTCTGCATGTTAGCCGCTGAGCTGTCGGCCTTGCCCATTACTGCTGTAGATGCTTCCGGAGCTGCGGGGAATCCAGGTTCAGACTCCACATGGGAGTCTCGTCGCCGGCCAGGCAACATAAGTTTCCTCAAAAGTTATCTATTGTTTGATTAATTGTTAATTAGTAACTCTTGGCTAAGGTTTATAATTTGTGTGTGGGTGTAGGCCTGTTTTATTATTTCAATAAAGCTTGCATTGTTATTTCTTTTAAACAAGCCTTGGTGGTGATTTCTCTTGCCTCTGACCCAGACTAGACTGGATAAACAAAGGTGGTGGCTGTCACACTCTGCTGTGTATCTCAGGCTGACTCTCACTCACCTGCCACACTTCATCCCTGCCACACCTCCTCATCAGCACTGATTCCCCACACCTGTGAGTGACAAGCTGCAGCTCCTCACTGCTGATTAGCCAGCCAGCATTTAAGTCACTCTGTGTCCCTCAGTCAGTGCCAGATTGTCTTCGCAGCATGCACGACTCTCCAGCATTATTTCTTGGATTGACTTCTCGGTTTCGACTCCTGCCTCTCTCTGACCACGTCTTATCGTCTCAGCCCTTGGATCCCCTGTCAAGTTTCTTCGCTCCAGTGAGAACTTCAGGTTTTGCTGTGTTGCTGGCTTCCCGACCTACTGCCTGTCCATGACTATCTTTCCGTCTGATCCCTCTGGAGTTAGTCTGCCCCGCTGATTGTCTGCCTGGATTCGACATTGCCTCCGCTTCGACCACGAGCCCAGCCTGCCCCTCGACAGTGCCGCTGCACTTCACAAAGACTCTCAGGTGTAGTGTGTTTTCTGTGTGCACTCGCCTATCTGCCTGTTGGACCTGTTTCCTGTTGGTCTTGAAGGTTCTACAGAGACTGCTAAATCAATCCCAGTGTCTTCAGTTACCTGTTTGCTGTGAACTGTTACAATAAAAGTATCTTCTAAACAACTACCTACCGTTGTGCTGCACTTGGGTCCTACATCCACACCCCTGACAGTGGCAGCGTAAACCTTCAAAATAAAACAATAGAAACTTTCTTACAATATAATAGTACTAGCCTGTCACTCTCCTGTAGCTCCAGGTGGTGCATAATAATTCACAGAGTATCAGCAAGTTCATTCTCATAGGCTACCTGGTATACTGTGGCGTGTTGGCGTATGATGGACTTCAGGCAGCTCTGTCTGGTGTCACTTTGGTTGGCTGAAGTTGATTTTTTTTCTAACTTTTGTGGGACATGTCCTTACAATAATTTGGTTACGATTTGCAGGCGACCTCCTCCTCAGTGTGTCTGCGCCCAGACAGCTCAACCTGGCACATGATGGCTGCAGCTAGTGCTGGGCAGTAAAATGATAATGATATATATTGAAAATTAATTTTCAATAAACATGGTCAATATGCTTTGACCAGATGATGACATCGTCAACAAGACTGGCCCAAAAATGTCGGTGGTGTGGAGGTATTTCGGGTTTTTGAAGTTGAACGTGAAGCAGAGAGGTGTGCACTGCAAATTATGTTGGGCACATGTTGCCACAAAGTCGGGGAACACCTCGAACCTTCTCCACCCTCTGAAGCAGTGCCACCCTGAGTGGAGCAAGTACCAAGCAGCCCACGGCGCTTGTGCAGCCGAAACAGCCCACCATTAAGTCCGCTTTCTGTCTAAGAGGCAGAAAGACTTCACAGATGCAGTAGCTTATTGCATCGCAAGAGATATGCTACCAATAAGCACTGTAGAAAAAAAGGTATTCAAGTCAATGGTAAAGTAATGGACTGTCATTACTAACTCCCCTGATGTAAACATTTCTCCAAGACAGCGCTTCCACTGCTGTATGTACAGTGTAGAGAGGCAATTGAGAAGGAACTGCAAAATGTTTCATATTTTGCCACCACTTCAGATATATGGTCAAGTCGCCCATCAGAACCATACATGAGCCTAATTGCTTACCTTATAGACCAAGATTGGATTTTAAAAAGCAAATGTCTGCAAACTGCATACTTCCGCGAAGACTATACAGGTGAAATCATTGCTGCAGGACTGTCAGGAGCACTTGCATCCAGGGGCTTGCGTGAAGACAGACAAGTCTGCGTCACGACTGACAGTGAGACCAATATGGTCAAGGCCACATAAACACAAACACACACACACGCACACACACACAACAGGCCAAACAATTGGGAGTAACTTGCTTTTTTTTTTTTTTCACAATGCTTTTTTCAAAATTCAGCATGAGTTTCATGTATTTTGGGATGTATTTACTCCATGCTCAGATGTTGTTTTCATGGAAATGCACCATTTTACTCCATTTACCTTTAGATATACATTGATATTAACAGACCATTGCTAAATATATATCAACAAAAGATAATGAGGGCTTAGTTTTAGGGTTGAAAACATTTGCAAGAGTCACAACTTCAGTGCAAAAGCAAAAAAAAAAAAAAACAGTTGGATTATTCACTTTAACTTTTTGGCTTTTGAGAGTCTGAATACAAAAATCCTAATAAATCTCTACTGCATTCCAACTACCCCAGAAACGGCTAGAAAGAAGCAACTGAGTAAAGAAACAAAAGTACAGATTTGTACATTGAGGAAAGAAGGATAAACAGAAAGAGAAATTGCAAAACGCCTAAAGGTGTTTAACAAAGGAGTCCACTACACTCTAAAGAGACTAGAGGAACCTGGACAAAAGAGAGTTACTACAAAAGCAGCGGATTAACATATTGTCACCAGTAAGAGAGATTATAAACTGTATATGAAACTATGATCTTTTTCTGTACAAATCTGATCTAGCTTCCAAACTTTTGACTTTATATATGTGTGTATATATATATATATATATATATATATACATATACACACTACAGGCCAAAAGTTTGTAAGCTAGATCAGATTTGTACAGAAAAAGATCATAGTTTCATATATATGTTAGATCTGCAGAAAAGGTACCGACATATCTCTTGCTGAATCTGGAAAATGTGTTGCAATGACTTGTGAGTCAGATTCCCCCCTTTATATCAAATTGATGTCAGAGATGTCAGACTAAAAATCACATATATCTTTGAAAACTGGCATGATATCACACATGCGCGCTTTCTGAGTGGAAAGAAGCAATGGGCAACTTGAGCCTCTTAATAGCAGCACTTGGCTATATTGTGTGCAAAAAACAGAGTTTGTCACTTCTGAAAAGTTGGAGACTTTTTGCTATGGACAACTGCTTTCCTTATCGCTGGCCTCTGCTTGATCAGCTTGATGGTCCTTCTCCAGGCAACCCAGAAGGCATCCCCTTTAAAAAAAAAAACAGATCTACTTCATTTGAATGTGCATCACAGTCTTTGCTTGAGCTCTTAGTGACCGTGCTTGGACATCCAGTTTGTGGACATGATGCAGGAGACAGATCTTTGATGGTGTGAAACTTATTCCTACTTGGAAAGGTTTTGGCAACTGAGCAAAACAAACTGATTCCTTGGATTTTCTTCAGCAGTTTGTAACCCAAACACTGACACTGCCCTCGGCTCTGAGGTCTCTGAACATTGTTCTCTTTAGAGCTCTAGGTTGCCTGAGTAATTGGACGGTTTCTTTTGAGAGTCAGAGGTTTTACAACATGGTAATGAGTGGTGCCGGCCTCCTCTGTCCACGCTGCTAAAGCTGTTGCTGAGAGACAAAGAAGAAGTCATCCAGGCGCTCAGAGAAGGTAGAGAAAGCAATGACACCACCATAACTCAGAGCGTCTACAGAAAGGGGAGGGGTGTGTGCACAGACACTAGGTTTGGTTTTAGATGAAGAAGAGGGGCTCAGAGAAGATAGTCACAGCAGAGAGCATGACAGAAGAGTCTTACAGGGATAAAAGTAAAAATGGTCAAATGTAATGAACTCCATAATACTCATGCAGTGACACACAGAGAATTTATATTCCGTAGCAGGATTTGATGTGGTCTTCAGGGTTTCAGGTGCATCACAAACGATGAAGCTTTGGATATTCAGTGTTGTTCTGATCTCTGCACTTGGAGGTGAGAGGATTTATATTTGCTTTTAAGCTTTGAAGGAATTTTTAGTTTGGGCACACTTACCAAGATGAAGTCTGGTGTCCGCAAAAATCTGGGTGCTTCAGCTCTGAAGTTGCTTTGAGGAAATATTAACTTGGCCTCTTTGGTTTCTCTGTTTATTGTTTTGGCTTTTGTCATGTTGCTCTGTTTATTTGTGCATTTTATTTAAATGTTTAATTCACCCTCTGAGTGAAATGTCATTCATGATTGGTGAAAGTATTGATGTTCATTTATTTATCAATTTAGGTTTTCTTGCATTTTTAATCACTTTGTCACTTTGTCATTGGGATAGCAAAAATATAGGATACAGTACTGGTACAAAACTAACGCAACCCAGTAGTAACATATATTGAGATAGACTTTACTACCACTACTAAGTCTATCAGATCATCGAGATTAAGGGAATAATGCTGTATTGCAGCAATAGGACCTGGAAGCAACAGATGTATGGATTTTTTTTTTTTTTTGATAGTCTGTAATGTTGGGAAGGTGAAAAATATCCTCAAAATGTGTTGCATGTAGGAGTTGGAATATGTCATAATATAACAAACACCATTATGTCCTACAAAAAAACTTTGATCTGTTTTAGGGACTGCTAGCATGAAAAAGAAATATGCATATTTCCACAAAAATATAATCTATATCAGTGAGATCTGATACTTAAAGCAGAAATCACTTACAGTAAATCCTGTCACTACAGTATGCCTATTGCTTTGTAGAGGAAAGTCCATGTCCCAAAGGTGGGCGGATCCACCTGGCTAACCAGAAATGCTATTGGCTGTCTGAAATGGCATCTTCATGGATTGAGGCACTAAACTCATGCAAAGACACCAAAAGAGGAGATTTGGCAGACGCTGACAGTCTGGAGCTGCAAACCTTTATTTTCTACTCTTTTCCAGTGTAAGTGTTACATACAGAAGTTTTCTTTGTATGTTTTTCTGAGGAAATAACTTCCCCCTTTGTATCATCTTGATTTAGGAGATCAACTGTGTGGGTGTGGCTGAAGGGGTCTGAAGAAGCAGACTCTGATCAGGCTAAGGATATAGAGTCATGGGAAACAACAGCCAGTGTGGCCCAGATGCTGTGTGCTCAGATGGCTTTAGGGATACAGGGGGAGTGGAGGAAAGCTCCATGTTCTGAACAGCATCTCTACCTCTGTGAAAGAGAAGTGAATGGTACAACCTTTTGAGTAATCAAAGGACTATATCAGAGTTTTTGAAATGAGACAATGAGTTCCATGTCCCAAGGTAAGTGTTTTAGCCAGAATAGATGTCTGTCAGCTTGACCCCTTTAAGTAGAAACTGCCCAGAGAACCGGCCCACAAGGTAAGCTACCTATAGTTTTCTGCAGATGGGCCAACTCTGATACATGAATCGATTTAGATAACTTTGAGGAAGTCTGACCCAAACACTCATCTCAGTTTACATGCTTGTTCTACTGAGAAATTTTTTGGCACTTTGCCATCAAAAAGTACAAGCAGAGGAGCTTGTCTGTGCTGCGTCTGCTAATAGTGCAAAGAAAGGGGGTCAGAGTCTCCCATAATCAGTTAAATTATTTGGCCACGGACTCCATCTGCAGAATACTGGAACCCAGGGCCAAATGGACAAGCATTCATTATAGCCTATACATTTACTAGTGGCATGTAACTCATATTACACCACTTCAAAAATACTGTAATATACCTTTAATGCTTGTGTGTTGGTTATAATTATGTGAATTTCTGGGATCTTCTGGGTATGATTTGTGTCAATCCCTTTCCATGTAGAGCCTGTACTGTCTGAGGACAGTTACCTGATTGGAGTGGTTTTCATGACCGGCATCTACCCTCACACCCAAATACGCCCCTTGACAAAATTCCCAGACATCGGACAGCTCACAGTGGAGGTCAGAAATAAGTTAACTTTTAACTGCATGTTTTAGACATTTAATTTGTCAAGTATGATATTGTAGTCTGCAAAGAGTCATCAAAATAAAGTTCTGCTGTAAGAGTTGAATGACAGGCTTGATTGAAGGTCTAGTGTCCACACTTTCTCAAACTTCAGGCCTTAATTGGATTAAAAAAAAAAAAAAAAAACATCCACAGATGCAGCTCTTCCCTGGGATTTGGTTCAGTCATGCCGGTCAGCTAAAATCAGTGGATCTTGTGGTTCAGCCCAGCACCACATCCTCTCTAGCTCGTGTCCAGATACTGCGGCCCTACTGCAATCCCAACCAACATTTGGTACCTCCAGGTAATGAATAAAAGTGTCTGGGCACACTCACACTGGGACTAGTTGTCCTGTAACATGTACGTTGGTAACACCACAGTAAATATGAGTGCAGGTTTACTAACCTTGTGGCAGAGATGGCAGAACCAAGGAATCCTACCATGTCTGCACTCACACAGGCCAAATGAAGTGAACTTTGGGGGGGTCATTATTGAGGTCTAACATGCTTCAGTATGGTTCAGATTGCCCAGCGTGAGTGTGCCCTCAAAATGTTTTTCCCAAAGTTTCATTTAATTCAGTATCTTTGATTACACCCTCTTTATGATCCATAGGTTGTAGTTCTCTCCTTAACCCCTTCAGCTGCTGCTCAGCAGTTCCGCTGTGTAACACCACAGGGGGGTGCAGCAGGGGGCAGTACTGGTGCCACCTGCTTGAGGCCTGTGTGTGCACTGCTTGTCCTTGCAGCCCCTATGACTCTGCAGCAGGGAATCGTGGCTTTGTTTTACCCCCTCGATACCCTATGTCACCACCTTTCTTTCACCTGGTGGCAGAGCTGCCTCTGAGAATAAACCCGAGCTCAGACCACAGGATACTGAATGTGAGTACCATGAGTTACTGACTTTTCCTGCTTCACATTTTATGACAAATGCATACTGACTCATTTTTCCTTTTCTCCTAACTTCCTTTTTGTAACAGGTGCTTCTGCCTGACCAAGCAATCACAGTGTACCCTGATGATATTGTGGCCATACAACACACTCGCAGCTATGGATCATTTCTGCACTGTCTCAACAGCAAAGTTTCTGGAAAATCCCCATGGCGCCAGAGTTACCTGTCCCTTCAAGGAACAGAGTGGGGGAGCTGGTGGGAGAGAGGTGTCTCTTCTCTACCTAAAGAGGGGCAATGGGTTGATGGGGTGGTGTGTGATCTGAAGATGCTGTATAAAGATGATCTCCCCAGAGGTACACAGTATGATGATACCTCAGGTTTTACCCAAAGAGACCCCACCACGGCTCCCTCAGTTTGGGCTTTGACAAACACTCCTGCTCTAAGAGGTGGATTCGAGCTGACTGTTATCCATCCTGTGCCGGATCAAAACAATGAAATTCATGTCCAAACTAATGTCCCTACACTGGTGGTTGTTAAGGTCCTGTCTGGAGAAAATGTCAGGAGCTCATGGTCAGCCCCAGTTCATCAAACTGGAGTCACCTTTTCCCCATATTGCCCAGAGGAGGTGACTGAGTTTTTGTCTGACTGTAAAAGTCAGTCCCATGATTTCTGGTTCTCCTCAGTGACTCTGGTCATGCCGTCAGAAGGAGATCAAACCCTGGACATCAATGTGACGAATGCAGTTAGCTCCCAGAGCATCAGCCTCAGGATTTGGAGCTACCAGGCGGTGACGGGGCTGAGTGTTGAGCCACAGAGATGCTGGAGGATGCTTGTGGACACACCACAAGTGAGAATTAAAAGATGAATTAAACATACAAATCCACCACAATATAAAGTCAAAAGAACACTTGGTAGATAGATCAGGAAAAGAGGAGTTGTCCTTTATTCAGAGTCATCTTGCATTAGGACCATTGCAGAATTACTTTTATAAATAGGGACCTTTGGGGGTTTACAAAAGGCCACTGGGCCTGAATCAGATTCTTTCCTGATGGAGCCACATTGAGTTCCTCCTGAAGTTCCCAGTCCTGCTGTAGTCAGTCTTTTAATGTTCTGTTCAAAAGATATGGATGTGTTAACTGGAACACAGTGTTAATGACTCACACAGTGCATGTTTGCTCACACAGCTTTTTCATGTCTGTAGTTATTTGTCGCTAAAGTGGAGAGCGGCACCTCTGTTAAATTCACGTGGGTGATTGATGATCTGGATCTGTTTGCTCATGAAGGACAGTCTTACAGTGTGGTGTTCAAGAAACCTGCAGAGTACATGCTTAAGGTGAGATACTTTATTGTCTTCATTTTGAATTTGATCTTTATGAATGTTTGAGGTTGTCATCATGCTTTATTGAAAACTCTCTTTCAGCAGCAGTAAATAGAGTCAGCTGTTCTGTCTCTGATAGGTGAAAGCTTCCAACCCTGTGAGCTCCCAAAACCAGCAGGTCTTCCTGACAGCTGATGAAATCACCCCGATGGATGAGCCAGAGTTCATGTTGCTCAGAGAGGTTGTTGCGGTGGATGCTACACATCTCTACAGCCTCAGGGTCAAAGTTCATGTATCCCTGCCTGTCAATGTCAGGTAAGGAGTTTGCACGTGACTAACCCTTGAAACCAGAGACAGAATCACTGGGGCTGCACATGTGGTGTACCGTTGATTGTCTGTTGGAAAACCTTCTAAAAGGTTGTGTAAAACTTTGTGTATTTTTAATCATTTGTTTCCCATGTAGATGGGATTTTGGAGATGGGAGTAGGGAAGTGATCCACACCCACTCAGCTCCATGTCTGACCATGCCAAGTGGTTTAAAGAGACAACAGAGGGATGTTTATGTTCAGGACACAGTGAACTACACATATTCTTCTTCAGGTAAGCACAGATATACTGCCAATGTTGTATTTGTGAACATTTATTTTCTTGAAACATTGAGATCATCATGTGTGGTAGTTTTACATAACTTTTTAAACATACTGTTGTTCACTGCTAAAGTGATACAGGTTTTTCACCATGGTCACTTACCTGAGAAAATAGCTGATTAGACCACTCATTTATATTTTCATTTGATTTACAATCAACATGTGATTGATTAAAATCTTTAACAACAGTTTGAGTTGTCCAGTCAGCCTTGTCAGTATTCCCAGATCACTCAGTATGTTTGCACGTTGTTGACTTTTAAAAGTATGTTAACACATTAGTCAGACTATAAGGAGTTTTAGATACATTATGACATCGACTGAAACTAGCGGTGATGTGTCTCTATAATGTATTGGAGCAAACAAGACAAGATCAACAATTTTTACACTGTAGTTTCTAGAGCCTCACTGCTGAGAGATGGTAGGTATGCCAAAGAAACAGCTTTAGTGACTTTACCAACTGCAAATATTCATGCTGCATGATAAACGCCACTGTATAAAGACAACAGAGGAGGGTTGTTATGCTGCGTTCCAGTTACCTCGGAAGTTGGATGTCAGAACTGGGGATGACATGACACTCGAGTTGATGGTGTTCCAGTAAACAAGTTGGAAAACCAAGATGGATGCCCACTGTTAGCCGTTGTTAGCTGTTGTTAACAATTGTCAGCTGTCGTTAGCCGTTGTCAGCTGTTGTTAGTTATTGTAAGCTATACCAGTTGTAAACAATGCATATCACAGTACAACGCATATATGTTGTACTGCCCAATGTCTAACCATGAGTACAGTACTATGGTGTTTGTAAGAGTAGAATACTGTATTATACAGTGCAACTGGTATCACTAACAACAGCTAGCAACAGCTGACAACCACTAACAACAACTGATAAAGGCTAACAACAACTGACAATTGTTAACAACAGCTAACAACGGCTAACTCTAGGCATCCATCTTGGTTTTCAGACTTGTTTACTGGAACGCCGTCAACTCAGGTGTAACATCATTCCTAGCTCCAACAACCGACTTCCGAGGTAACTGGAACGTAGCATTAGTCACCACAAGTATAAGAGAAAATCAGCAACAATGTAAGGGTACCACTTTTTACACAGGGGGCCCCACAGTCAACACAGTCAGTCCTTCACAGGAACTTTAAGAAAAAGATTTTGTGGTTCCCTAAAAAAAATGATTTCCAGAATTAGGCCTACGTAAGTCATGCACCAATTTTTTTTTATCCTTGATAACTTTGAAATAAACCCATTATAATAAATTCCACTCCTAGTATAGTGGGTGCGATGGGAGCCCTGAAACTTTTTATTGAACCAAGCTGTAAATGTGATTATTTTTGCCCCCAAAATGGCGTCTGACTGGTCATTATAATTGGCAGCAGCCTCAGGTAAAGTTACAGGACTCAACACAGCTCAGAGGGACAGCCAAACAGAGCTGTAGAGGCTACACTCTCATAAAATCCAACCCACCTCTCATGAGATCATCATCACTTAACAGACAAATGAGCCAGCTGTCACTGAGTATGATAAACCTGAGAGTGGGACACTTGTGGCAGCTCCATCAGACATTAGATTAGCTTTGCCGTTTATCTTAAGTCATAGTTTGCGATTGCTGCCATGGTTACTAATCTTGAATACTGGCTGTAAGGTATTGATTTTGAATAATGAATGGATTGTTTAATTTAGAAGACTTCAGACTTTTTATATGTGTCCAAAGATTCTTTGAAAACCCTCCTGCCAATCAGAACTGAGCATTGACATGCACATTACTGTCTTACAAGTACAACCAGAATTAAATTAAGGTTGCATTTATTGCTTCATCTTATAGACTATTCATAAACCTCTCAGGAAACTTTTTAATGTACTTGAAAAAACAAGCACATTTTCTGACCTTGATTTCTAGTATATTTGTCATCCTTGCCTCTTTTCATGCACAGATGACTTCAAACTTCACATCCAAGTCTCCAACCAGTACAACTACGTCGATGCCTTCATGAAGATATGTGTCCGTCCTAAATTAATCCACCTCCTTGTTTCCTCTTCCCTTCCTGTCCCACACGTCAAAGAGCCTCTTTTTCTGGAAGTTTCTCCAGAGCCATTCAGCCATGCCATTATTTATACCTGGGACTTTGGAGACGGTTCAAAAACCATTCAGAGCAACAATCACAAGGTAAACCACAGCTTTACATCTGCTGGGGTTTATAACATCACAGTTTGTGCCAACAACACTCTTTCAGCTCTGACCCACTCTCTCACTGTGGAAGTTATGGAGGAGATCTCTGGATTAACTCTCAGCTACAGCAGACCTGCTGAAATAAACTCTCCAGTAGATTTCAGAGCTACAGTGGCTGCTGGTACGAGCCTGATATGGAAGTTTAACTTTGGGGATGGGTCTCTACAGGAAAACCTTAGAAATGGTTCAGTCTCCCACATATATAAGTCACCGGGGAACTATACAGTGTATGTTACTGTTTTAAACTCTGTCAGCCAAGCTCTTCAGTCAGTCAGCATAGAGGTCTATAGGCTGGCTCTTAGTGGAGTCCTACCCACAGAGTGTGTGATGAGTGGAAAAGGAGTACAGCTCAGCGCTCTGGTCAATGGGGATGCATCATTTCTGACTTTTCATTGGCTGATAGGAGATGGATCATCTCTGACTGTAGTAAGGGGACAACCAACAGTCATACACAGATTTCAAAACCAAGGATCTTATCCTGTAGGTTTGACTGTGATCAGCTCTGTAACATCTGTGTCTTTTAATGCAACCCTATGTGTGGAACAGGAAATTACTAATGTGAGGGTGCAGTCATCAAGTGAGGTGTGTGCAGCAGGAGAAGAGGTTTGCTTTCAGGCCTTAGTATCCCCTGAGCAGATAAGAGGTTGCTCATTTACGTGGTTTCAAAGCCCCTCTGATCTCATGACCAGGACTGAAAACTCTCAGCAGTGTTTTACATTTAAAGAAGAAGGAGTTCAAGAGGTGACAGTGATAGCAAGTAACACTGTGAGCAACATGACAGCTAAAGCTGGTGTCAACATTCAAAACCCTGTTGGTCAGCTGTCTGTGGTCCATGACAGTCCCGGTGAAACACTCACAGTCAATAAATCTGTGTCATTTTGGGTCTCCAGCTGCACTGGCAGCAATGTGTCAGTGCTGTGGGACTTTGGAGATGGAACTCCAGTTGAACAGAAGCAAAATACGACACATGCATTCACCTCTGAAGGTTATTTCATCATCACTACCACTGCATTTAACACCATCAGCCGTCAATCTGTAACCCTAAAAGTCAACGTCCTGCTTCCTGAATCAGACCTGTCTCTTTACACAGACCAACCTTATTCTGCAGTAGGAGAGGAGACTCTCATCTCAGCAGAGAGCAGAGCCATTAGCAGCACTAACTACTACTACTGGAGCATAGATGGTGTTCCATCAACCACACAAGGTACCAATCAGTTTAGGTTTGCTTTCAGTAAACCTGGGGTGTTCAGAGTCCAAGTTGCAGCTCAGGACCGGGTGAGTAGAAGTGAGGCAGGGATTTTGATCGAGGTCTTTGAAAGAATAGAGGGTCTGCAGATAGAGTGTCAGAGTGTGACAGACATGAAGTATGTACCAACAGAAGAGGGACTTAAGTTTGTTGCTTCAGTCACTAAAGGCTCAAATCTAACATATTACTGGCTTGTCACACAGACTGAAACAAACAAAGACATTTTAGGTAATGGAGGAAGTTTTTACATGATCGCTGAGAGTCCTGGAGAGGTTTTAGTCCAGGTAAGAGCTTCAAACAAATTGGGTGAGGTCAGCAGCAGTGTGTCTTTAGTGGCGGTAGAGCGTGTAGTCATCACACAAACCACAGAACAACCTAACACAGTGGCTGCGGGTAAACTGGTGAATATCTCTGTATCTGTCCTCAGTGGCTCAGACCTACAGTTCTTATGGCAAATTAATTCAGATGTTTCACCCCTGCAGACAAATGTGCCATTTCTTCTCCACACTTTTGTTAATTTGGGCTGTTGTCTTGTAACAGTTTCAGCTCAAAATATCCTTAGTAACAGTAATGTCACCATGACATTTGACATTCAGGAGGAGGTCAAAGAGGTGGATTTTGAAATAGAAGGGAAGAAACTGCCTTTTTTTATCCCATCGAATGCTGCTGTTCAACTCCACGGGCTCATTCACAAAGGAAATGATCTGATCTGGAAGTGGAGGATCGGCAGTCACAACTCTAGAGTCTCCAGTGTGACTAACCAGACTTTTATCTACACTTTCCCACATGCAGGCATCTACCAAGTGTCTCTGAATGTTTCCAATCAGATAAACTGGCAGCATGTCTCACACAGCGTTATGGTCCTTGATGCAGTCGAAGGTTTGATGGTGAATATTTCCAAGTCTTCTGTCTGCACAGGGGAAGAAGTAACTTTTAATCCTGTAGTCTCTAAAGGAAGCAATGTAAGCTTTGTGATGACTTTCCAAAACAAAGACTGGACTCACAGTCACAGCATCTCTAAAGGGCAGTTCACCATATCGAGCCTACCTGCAGGAACAATACTAGTCAGAGTGACAGCAATTAACCAGGTCAGCAGTGCTGAGGTGACCTCCAGAGTCCATGTCACTGAGCAGATTCAAAACTTACAACTTATGAACTGTTCTGCTGATTTAGAGGCTCTGAAAGGAGTTCAGTTCAAGGCAGAAGCTCAATGTGGACTTCCTGTCACCTACACCTGGATATTCTTCCTAGAGGGATCTGAGCCCACACAGCTGACTGGCCAGGAAGTGACTTTCACTCCATTACACAGTGGTTTACTGTCTTTAAGTGTGACTGCAACCAGCGGAGTCTGCTCCATGACGCTAAACAATACCTCTACAGTTCACTGGCCTCTGAAGCAGGCTGACATCATCTCCTCTTCAGAAAGAATATTTGTTGGACACAGGGTCATGTTTACTGCAGCAGGGAATGGATGGAGCAACATCTTGTATCTCTGGGACTTTGGGGACTCCTCAGAGACATTGCAGACTGTTGAAAGCACACACAACCACACTTATTATAACCCTGGGAAGTACAGCGTTGTTGTCAAAGCTTCAAACAGGGTCAGCTGTGTGTCTGCACAGCTGCAGGTGGAGGTGGAGGAGCTCCTATGTTCCCTCCCTCAGGTTTCTCTCATACAAGGACAGTCCACTATCTTTGGGTGTAGACCAAACTACTTTGAAGCAAGAGTAGACAACAGCTGTTCTGTTTATAAAACCAAATACCTATGGGAGGTCCTCGAAGAGTCAGACTGTGTTGAGGTTCAAGTCCATCCTAAAAGCAAGTTCAATTCAAGTTCACCTCTTCTTTTAATACCAAAGCATAGTCTTGATGTGGGTCAGTATTGCGTGGTGTTCACAGTGTCACTGCAGGGAACTCCTCTAATGGTCCGCAAAAGCATCAGTGTGGATGTGGTCCACTCCCCACTGGTGGCTGTGATCCAGGGGGGCTCACACAGACTGTGGTCCAGCCTCAGGGATCTAGTCCTGGATGGATCTGGCTCCAGAGATCCTGACGTAGAGACAGGAGAGGACAGACTGCAGTATCACTGGACAGTGACAACAGTGGTCAGTTTGAAGATGAAAAATCCTCAAGTTCATAAATGTGATGATAAGTTAACAGGAAGTTTGACACCCTGATGAAAATAAGTGCAGGTGTTACCTTCAGACATTTGTGTTTCCAGGGAGCTGATGAGCCTCATCTCCTAGAGCAGCACCTGAGCAGAGGAAATAGCAGCAGATTGACTGTTTCCAGGGCTCAGCTGCATCCAGGGACAGAGTATGTTTTCATCCTTACCATACAAAAGGCAGGGAGACCATCAGCCCAGGTCAACCAGACAGTGAGTACCTTTCACTCTTATCTCACTCTGACACAAGTGCGATCTCGTTTCTATTTGTTATGTTGGTTCATTTCAGTTCAGCTGATAAAAGTAAAGCAACTTCTGTTAAATATATAATGTATTAACACACAGACAGACACACACACACACACACACACACACACACACACACACACACATACACACACACACACACACACACGTAAAGCTGAAGCAAACACTTACTGTAAACACCTTCTGTCTGACCTTAGGTAACTGTGTGTGACACTCCTTTACTCCCTGTCTCTGTGGAGTGTGTATCCTGCTCCATCCTGTCCTCCAATCACAAAGCCAGTTACAATACCCCAATTTTTCTGTCTGGGAAATGTGAGCAGTGTGGTAAAAAAAAGACAAAGGTAATATTATCATTCATTCATTAAAAATGTGTATGTGAAGTTTTAGCTTTTCAATTCAGCTCCTCAACTTCTTGAAGTTTTTTTCTTCTTTTTTTTTTTTTTTACCTTTTAAACACACACAGTAAAGCATCAAGCTTCTGGATTTTTTTAGGCTATGTTTTTTTTTTTTTTCCAAAAATGACCCAAAAAGTAAAAATCAGGCCTTTGAAATCAATTGTATGTTAAACTCAGGTAGAAACCTTGGAATCACCAGACTATCAAACCTGAGTGGAGGCCGCTGGAAATGATTTTGTAATAGTGCACAAGAATCTGGATTTAAACACTGGAAACGTGAATAAATGAAAAGTTTGTAAGAGTTTAAAGTAGAGTCATAGTTTCAATAGGAACAATTTAATGGTAAAATTGCTCTTCTGATTTTGGAGTTCGTTTTTGACTTGGCAGGTATGGCAATGCCTAATGAGGTACTAAACCTGCATACAAATACAGCATATAACATAAAAAACTAAAAAAAACAACAACATTATTTTCCTCTTGCAGTATGAGTGGCATGCTGAGGACCAGAGTGGCGTGAATCTTGACCTCAATGAGGTTTCCACCTCGACAGAGAGAAATTCAGCTGATTTGGTGTTACGCTCAGGTGTTCTGCAGCTGAGTCATTGTTATACCTTCATCCTGAATGTTTCCCAGCCCAGCACAGGGCAGTGGGGCAGCGCCAGCCTCACAGTACGACCAAACAATCCACCTCATGGAGGGCTGTGTGAGCTCAGCCCAGAAACAAGAATCCATCTGCTGGAGACATTAGTAATCTATAACTGCTCAGGTAACACAGGGACATTAGTCAATGTGTCACCAGTTTGCATCAGTCACTTCTTTCATTAATTAAAATTAAAAAAGAGATAGTTGTCCATCCATACTCTCTTTGAGCAGCATGTATTCTCTTCTGCAGGATGGCGAAATGATGAGAACGAAGTCTCTCAGCTCTTGTATACGCTCCAGGTATCACCATGTCAGCAGTTTGACCTCAAGTGCCCCCTGCTGACTCTGTACAGGTGAGTTAACTGACAGAGCAGGATCGCTCAAGAGGGAGTCTGATAGACTTTGATGTTAGGGAAATGTATCGTTAAGTGAGTTTGCTTTAAACCACCGACTGTATAATGGACGCCGTCTGTCTCCTCGCTGAGTAAATCCTCTGCGAGAACAGCACCCTCTGGTGACAGGCTGCAGTATAGGTCATAAATCCTGCCTCCTCCAGCAATCCCTATAGAGCTGTGGACAAACTTTAGAAATTTAATTTACAGAATATAAATTTTTGTCCCCCCTGCTTGTGATGTTGACATGTAGTTATTGTAAGACTGATTTGTGCTCAAGTCCTCTTTTTTCTGTACAGCTCCATTTTTAAAAGTTGTTAGGGGGTTCATGTTTTCTATGATTGATACTTGATACAGCCTGTGGGCGTACAATGATTGCGTAGCTCACCTGGGGGATACGCTGTTTGAGTCGAGCATCATCACAGCGACTCTTGGCAACCCTCCCTCCGAATGTGTACAATGCTTTTGCCCAAGTGGTGCTTCAAGTAAATGGAGAAAATCCCAGAAATAGTGAGAGCAATTTGGCTTCAAATTCATATTATGATGGAAGGCAGAACCAAGTTGTACATAGTATATACAGCCTATGCTTAAAACGTTCACAAACCTTCTACAACCTTCTAAAAATATGATCTTTTTTATTTCTCCTCCAAGGGGCACTCGTTCATCCTACGGCGCCCTGGTTCCTGTTGGACATTCTGGACAAGTGGGACACCCCTCATTTATCATGGTCACCTTGCTGGTAGAGGACTATCTTGGGACAAAGGTCTTGGCCCTTAACAGGTCAGAGACCAAGGTTTCATCTGATCTGTCCACAGAACTTTTTGTTTATTAAAGACATTATAGAAGCCCCACCTCCCATGACCTTGAATGGGATAATCAGGATGTCATGGCAGATGTTTCCTCATGTAGAAGTCACCCTGGCTAATTCTGTCATCTTTATTGTAGGACGCTGACAGTTGAAAATCCTTCCCAACTGGAGGTTTCCAGTCATTGGCTCAGAGACAAGAGTCAGACTGAGCTCCAAGCTTTAGTCTATCGTGGAAACTCACAGGAGATCATCCCTTATTCCATTGCAATTATAAGCCAGCTAAATCAGGTATCACTATGATTACCAGCACTTTGACACTTTACTGCAGATTATGACCAGGTCAGATACAAAGATCTTTCCGAAAGGGTTTAAATGTGCTTTGACTGTGTCCACAGATGGAGTCTGGACAGACTGCTGAGGATCTGACAGACAGAAGAGAGACTCGGAAACATGTGATCCAGGCCCTCACCTCTCTCCCTGTTTCCTCATTGCTTGATGTCGATCAGATCAGCTCAGCGTTGTCACTGTCTACAGTAAGAGTTTATTAGAGGAGCTGTTTGAGTTTTGCACTAGGATAAAGCAACAAATTTGAAGGCTGGTCTACAGAGTAAGTAGATTTTATGAGCAGGAGTCTATTTCAGCCCTGCCTGCCTTTTACATGGGAAACAATGAAACTATGAAATATAAACCAAACTATGAAAAACAGCATTACAAACAAATAAAGCTACAGTACTACTGAGAACAAAAAGTCAAAATAAAACTGAGTGTGATTTCAAAACATGTACAATCTTATTTTTGCTGTTTGAGCAGATGGTAATAACTTTGCTGTTTTCTTTATTGTCTTACTGAGCAGAGAAGAGAAAGTTTGTGTCTACCCTTTAATTAAGATTTGTTTGAATATATAATATGTGAAATCAGATCTCAGTTTATATTGCAAATTAGCAAGTCACAGTGCATAGTAAAACTGTATGTCCATGAAAGGTCCAAGTGGAGCCAAAAATAAATATCACTCCCTACTGATGCAGTTCTGCAAAATTTACTTTGTTTTGCATTCATATGTCGTAGAAAAAGCTATTATCACTTCTTAACTGTCTATATCAGACTTCTTTGGATAATTTTGCTTTTAAATCCTGTTTTTAAAAGATATTGTCGTATTTCTATGTCATATTAGTCTTTAGTCACCTTCTGGCTGTGACAGTATTCTGCATGTAATCTGTTAAAAACTGAGAGAAAATGGCATCAGAAGGTCAAGAAAGCCAGTTTGCCCCAAAGCATCACCTTACCTAACTCAACACTTTCTTGAATTTGAACTTTTTTACCAACTCTTTGGCGAAAACTCAATTTCTGTTAAAGGTGGCTCCCAGGGAAATGGTCTGTTCACAATGTCTGGAGGATGTTTTAAAAATGGTGCAGAAGATGATACAGGTCATGGAGGAGCAGAGAGATCCTGGAGTTTTATCAGCTGTTGAAAGAGGAAGAAACATCCTTGACATCATTGGTACTTGTCAAACATAATCTTCTGCACAAAACACTGGTTTACTGATTGTGAACTAAATATGTGAAAATATTGTATTTGTTGTGTTTTCAGGTAACAGTCTTGCTGCTCTGTCTATCAGTCCTCAACAAACCCTCTCCAGCACCCTGCAGCCAGCCTCCACAGTCTTCCTGGATGTGCTGGGTCACACTGGCACCCTGATGCGCTCTTTAATGCATGCTCATGTTCGCGGCGAGGCTCCTCTCTTACTCTCACTCTCTAGCTCTTATCTCAACACAGATGGTTTCTTTGGAGACCCCTCTGACCTCCTGTGCACCCACCAGTCCAGCCGCAACAAGTCAAAGACTTCTTACTGCCAGTTTCATATTCCTACCGCCTTTACTACTTATCTGAAGAGTCAGCAGTCTGAGGTGGTACAGGTTCTCTTTTCAGTGGATGCAGATACTGGACCCAGTTCCTTCCTGGCTGCAGCAGACCCGCCAATTTCCACCACCCTGGCTGCCATGGAGCTCACCACATCTCGGGGCCAGCCAATACCTATCCAGGGTCTAGAACCTGAACATGCCATACAAATAACCCTGGCCAACAAGCACCCAGTGGGACTGAACAACCAGGGTGGAGATGGAGGAGTACATGAATCCAGGAACAGAACATGTCCAACCATAACACTTCCTACTAAAGGACAGTTGAGCTTTCGAGTTATAGGTGTGGACGGACTGGATAAAAATGCAGGTTTATTTATTTCCTTCAACTTCAGCCATGATACAGGTAAAGTAAACAGTTTTCCTCTGTACCTCAATTGTTTTTTTCCCCAAACCTTTGACCTGCCAGCGCTAGTGGCTTCATTTTGGACTTATGACTCTTCTTGCTCTAAACTGAGTCTATTTTTAACCACGTGTGTCTTTGACTGAATGAAATGAGGATCCTTTGCATAAAAAAGAGAAAATGACTGAAACAGTAACTCTCAAAAGTGCTGACAAGTGTTACAATGGCTCTCCTGGTTGCTTAAAAACCTGCATTTGCCCGAGCACCAAAATGGTTTGAGAGCCCTATTCTCCAACTTGAGGAGGTCATGGGAACTCCTCCACACTGAGTTCTATCTATTTGATATTTCACATGCATGATCAAGCTCAGTCCCAGAAAGGCCTTTCTCACCTGGTCTTTTAAACCATCCTGCAAGTTTATGCATACAAGGACATACAGATACACACACACACACTCCACCAGGGTGATGGTTTTCTCCTAATGTCAGTGCGACTCCTGTATGCCCATTATGAACTCTGACTGCATATCTGTGAGTCTGTATGACTTGTTAATGTTACGGATGCTATCCTGCTGCACTGTGTTTACTCAGGATCTGCTTCTGTGAGCCTGGGACGAGTCAGGATAGAAGTGGGCTTTGCAGTGCTGCAGACTTTTGAATCTATGAATTTCATAACAAGAGAGTGGACTCTCACTTTCTCTGCTGCAACCACCTCCACAGAGGAGGCCATCTTTCTTTCTCCATAGTAAGTCACTGCTTCTGTGTTTAAATCTGAACCCTGAATGATCCATACTTTTGCTGATAAGAATATTTTTTCTCGCTCCAGTTTGAACAGGACCAACGAGCCTCTCTTAGTAAACCTCACCTCCTCTCTGGTCGACAACTCTTCTGTCCATGTGTCAGTGTGTGTGTTCAGCTCACTGTGCCAATACTACAGTGTGAATGAGACGCGTTGGAGCAGTGAGGGTTTACAGCCACTAGATGGCAGCACACTCCACTCTGTTCGCTGTCGCACGAGACATCTCACCTTGTTTGGGGCCAGTATGTTTGTTCATCCAGGGGCAGTGATCCTGCTCCCACCGGTATGTGAAAAAACAGTCCACCTGTATCTCGTATTTCATTTTATTCAGATGTTTCACCCAAATAATGAGTCACTGCTGGATAAGCAATGACTACTATCCACAGGCTCTTTCTGTTTCTCCATCCATTCCTTGTGCAGTCAAGTGGTCCCGTACGTAACATGGTGGTGGGGATCATATGTGCCATCCTGGTCCTGGTCCACATCCTGATGGGGCTCTTTACCGGCAAACTAGACCACCTGGACAGCTTAAGGCTAAGCCAAGTCCCACTGTGTGGCCAACCGGGTCTGTACCACTACAGGGTGCTGGTGAAGACAGGCAGGCGGCGAGGTGCAGGTCAGCCACACATAACACATGTTATTAAACCAAAATATAAGAATAGAGGTATTTTAAAGTCTGAATTTATGAAAACTGTACTAAACAAAATCACTTGTGATTTTTCATCAGGCACCACCGCACATGTTGGCATCTGTCTGTATGGAGTAACAAAGAGTGGCTCTCGTCACCTGCAGAGAGTGGGAGCATTTCAGCGAGGAAGTCTGGACCAGTTTCACCTGGAAACAGATGACAACCTCGGAGAAATATGGAAAATCCGCATTTGGCATGATAACACAGGTGCTGGATAAATGTTATATTGAAAGAAACCAACAGAATTACTTTTCTGGTTATTTTGACAGGAGGCAGAATTTCCTGATAACACTCCATATTATCCCCCCTCCTATAAAGCATCATGAATACATATATACACAATGCTTCAAAACAATCCTTATAAGCAATTATTAGCAATCATAACAACTTTACCCATGTTTATTAAGTGTTATAACAGAGGAAACAGTGGAACCTGAGAGCTGTCAGGTTGTTGCTTTTATTCAACAAAAGCATTAAAAAACTCCTCTAAAATTGAAGGGAAACAAAGTTAGTTTTTAGCTTGGTTAAAGTCCCACTCCGATCATTTTTTTAAATTTTTATTCATTAAAGTGTTCCCAGGGATCTTTAAATTGTGAAGTTTTTAGCCAAAATCACATTACTTGTCATTTTTAAGACCCTTTCCTCTGTAGAGCTCCAGTAGATCATCAGCAATTTGCCTCTGAGTCGTGGGCGGAGACGTTGGCCCTCATTTATTAATCTTGCGTACAGCAGAAAACTTGCGTACGAAAATTTTGACGTGAGGATCGGCATTTATCAATCTGCACATGAGCGTATGCTACGACCAAGTCTCACAACAGGTCTGACATCGTGTAGGCAAGTTTGACTCAGTGTGGATCTGTGGTGCAGCAAATGTCTGTCTCAAAATCAATTATATACAAACCTCAAAGCTGTCATTAATCACGATCAGCCAGATTTCATTAAAGATTAAGACGTAAATAAAATAACATAAAAATAGTGAATAGGCCTATTTCATAACTCTGCCCAGAAACACTGCTACAGAGCAGGAGCGCCGTTTCAACATTATGCACACACGCACACGCGCCACTGTGGAGCGCTGTGTTTGACTCCTAAAAGGCAGGTGTCTCTGCCTTGGTCCAGCAGCGGGGACATTGTTGTACCCTCCTGAAAGGATGTGGGACATCATTTGGGCTGGTACAGTTTTGCACAATGTTGCACTGGAGAATGGAGTGTCGTTAGCTATGCAGGTGCAACGTGAGGACCTGATGCCCGGAGAACAACAACGAGGAGAGACTCCACAAAGGTGCTGTACAGAGGAGACAGGACCTTATCGATGGATTCTGATGTAAAATATAAGTTTAGAAAGTGCTCTTGCTATTTAATCAGTGATAAAAAATCCAATAGAAATCCATAAAACTGTGCTTCAGGGGCAGCAACACACCGTTTGGTGAGGTTAATAATTATTTTTGTTGAGCCTCTGTCAGACTCTCTACTCTGCTCTACATTACAAAGACGCAACAAATTAAAACTAAATACTATCAATAATAGGAGCAACGTACCCTATGTCATGGTAATAAAAAATATGAGGCATGTATGATTATCATTAGTCAACTTATTATCATGATTTATTCCAACTTTAGCCACTGTCCGTTATTCCGCAGCAGCGCTGTTCACTGCCACCATAATCCTGCTCAGACAGAAGTTTTCTGGACTGCTTTTATAGCCTACCAGTTTTGATGCTTTCAAAGAGCAAATCCTTGTTATAGTGGAGCAGACAAATGCATAATATAGCCCGAATCGTTCACTTTGTTATACAAGCATGAAATTTGGTACATATACTCTTCAAACCCCACTCTTTTCAAAAATAACGTTAGCCACGCAAAATTCCAAGATGGCGGCCCCAAAAGCCAAGCTGTCCGCCCCAAAAATGTGGTTTTTCCTTTATAACTCAAAATGACTTGATTTTAAGCCCCATACATATATTGAAGTTGAATATAAAGTTGGGTATTGCGGACATTTTGGTAGCCAGTACATTTCTGTATCCATAACGGTTCTTGAGATACAGCATATAGATACTTGTACAGAATTGGGAGAGTGAGAAATTTGTAACACCGGTTGTTGTTACGTGCATATGGTTGCATGAAAATATCATTTCCATTATCTGTTATTTTCATGAGGGTTATAACATTAAATTCGAAAAACAAGATGGTGTCCAAGATGGCTGCCATTGCCTTGAAGTAATCCGATCTTAGTGACTATGAAACATTAACTTTTGGCATGCACATATTTTTGGTCTATGCATCCAATGGGGCCATTGCAGTACAGAATTTAGATGTTTATACAGTACAAGCTTGCAGATGTAATAGAGTGAATATCGGCACACAACCAGGGCACACTGGTGATATCACTGCTGTGTAACTCAGCATGACCTCCAGGGGTTCTTTCAGCATGAGAACCAGTCCTTCCCTGTTGCATTGAGCAAGGGTGGAAAATTGTACACTTGCCAGAAGTCTCAGCTGACCCCTATCCTTGAGAATTATGTCCCACCAGTTGACAAGGAACCTGAGGCAGACGTTCTCATTGTAGATGGGTCAGCTTTGGACCACGCCCTGCCACCAAAAAGATCCAAGACTTTTGAGGACTATGCAGCTCTCGACTTCCTACCTGTGATCTACATGTACTCCAGCAAGTACACAATGACCCATCAAGCCTTAAAGCTGAGACCAGGTCCAAACGTGGCCAGGGGGGAAGACGCAAGGTAACAAATAAGAACACCATGCTGTCTAACTGGCATAACTTCCTGAGGCACAATGACAACAAAACAGAGTTGTCCCACCCTTGCCGAAAAGGTTGCACAAATGTTTGCCCTAAATACCGTCATCGTCACAAAGGGACCTGCTGTCCTCAGCACTCGTGCAACTGGTCTTGATGGACTGGATAAATGCTCTCACGAGGAAGCGGACTGCAGCATCTTTGTGCACGCCAAACATGCAACTGGTAGCCAAGCCATCATGATCAAGGCAAATGACACAGATGTTCTGATCTTACCAATAAATGTATTCAGCGGTCTCCAAGAGGCTGGCCTACAGCATATGTGGCTTGCATTTAGGCAAGGTCAGACTCTGCGCTGGATTGGTGTGCATGACATATTTCAGCATGTTGGCCAGGAGAAGGTCAAAGGCATGCTCTTCTTCCATGCCTTTACAGGATGTGACACTGTGTCTGCCTTCCGCAACAAAGGCAAGAAAATGGCTTGGCATACATGGGACATACACTCACCGGCCACTTTATTAGGTACACCTGTCCAACTGCTCGTTAACACTTAATTTCTAATCAGCCAATCACATGGCGGCAACTTAGTGCATTTAGGCATGTAGACATGGTCAAGACAATCTCCTGCAGTTCAAACGGAGCATCAGTATGGGGAAGAAAGGTGATTTGAGTGACTTTGAACGTGGCATGGTTGTTGGTGCCAGAAGGGCTGGTCTGAGTATTTCAGAAACTGCTGATCTACTGGGATTTTCACACACAACCATCTCTAGGGTTTACAGAGAATGGTCCGAAAAAGAAAAAATATCCAGTGAGCGGCAGTTCTGTAGGCGGAAATGCCTTGTTGATGCCAGAGGTCAGAGGAGAATGGCCAGACTGGTTCGAGCTGATGGAAAGGCAACAGTGACTCAAATAACCACCCGTTACAACCAAGGTAGGCAGAAGAGCATCTCTGAACGCACAGTACGTCGAACTTTGAGGCAGATGGGCTACAGCAGCAGAAGACCACGCCGGGTGCCACTCCTTTCAGCTAAGAACAGGAAACTGAGGCTACAATTTGCACAAGCTCATCGAAATTGGACAATAGAAGATTGGAAAAACGTTGCCTGGTCTGATGAGTCTCGATTTCTGCTGCGACATTCGGATGGTAGGGTCAGAATTTGGCGTCAACAACATGAAAGCATGGATCCATCCTGCCTTGTATCAACGGTTCAGGCTGGTGGTGGTGGTGTCATGGTGTGGGGAATATTTTCTTGGCACTCTTTGGGCCCCTTGGTACCAATTGAGCATCGTTGCAACGCCACAGCCTACCTGAGTATTGTTGCTGACCATGTCCATCCCTTTATGACCACAATGTACCCAACTTCCGATGGCTACTTTCAGCAGGATAATGCGCCATGTCATAAAGCTGGAATCATCTCAGACTGGTTTCTTGAACATGACAATGAGTTCACTGTACTCAAATGGCCTCCACAGTCACCAGATCTCAATCCAATAGAGCATCTTTGGGATGTGGTGGAACGGGAGATTCGCATCATGGATGTGCAGCCGACAAATCTGCGGCAACTGTGTGATGCCATCATGTCAATATGGACCAAGCTCTCTGAGGAATGCTTCCAGCACCTTGTTGAATCTATGCCACGAAGAATTGAGGCAGTTCTGAAGGCAAAAGGGGGTCCAACCCGTTACTAGCATGGTGTACCTAATAAAGTGGCCGGTGAGTGTATGTCCAGAATCCTTGCCTGTATTCGCCAAACTGGGTATTTACCCTCCCACAGTGGAGGACTGCGACATAGAGGTGCTTGAGAAGCTTGTCATTCTCATGAATGACAGATCCAGCACAGCTGCTACTGTGGATGAGGCCAGGCTTGACTTGTTTGCCAGAAAGCAGAGGCCCTATGAGTCTATCCCACCAACCAGAGCAGCTCTACTCCAACACACCAGGCGTGCTGCCTATCAGGCTGGTTGTGTGTGGGCCCAGGCAACCCAGTGTCAGCCAGAAGCAGAGGACCCTGCAGACTGGGGATGTCAAAATGTTGGTGAGGAATGGCAGATCTTCTGGACAGCCAACTCTCCAATAGCCAAGAAGACAGCCTCCACGTGGCCTCCCCCTCAAGTAGCCAGAGAGTAGTTGCCCTTTAAGCGAAACAAATGTCTTCGCAATGTCCACAATGTCCAACAGACCCCCCCCCCCCCACCTCCCATACCCAGTAATAACAGAATCCATTGGAAAAATCTCTTCTGTCACTTATTTTGGGTTTCAAACTGAGGTGTTGAATTTTGGATTCTGGGCAAACAAACCACTAGGGGGCGCACCCATATTGTTTGCAGTGTTTTTTAAAAACCTAATACACATACCTAACACCATAACAAAAATCAGAAAATTGTCACAAAATGCCTAATTTTTAACCTTTTTTGACAAGTTTCATCCTTCTGAATTCATGATTCATCTCTGCTGAATTCATGATTACTTCAAGGCAATGGCAGCCATCTTGGACACCATCTTGGTTTTCGAATTTAATGTTATAACCCTCATGAAAATAACAGATAATGGAAATGATATTTTCATGCAACCATATGCACGTAACAACAATCGGTGTTACAAATTTCTCACTCGCCCAATTCTGTACAAGTATCTATATGCTATATCTCAAGAACTGTAATGGATACAGAGATGTACTGGCTACCAAAATGTCCGTAATACCCAACTTTATATTCAACTTCAATATATGTATGGGGCATAAAATCAAGTCATTTTGAGTTATAAAGGAAAAACCACATTTTTGGGGCGGACATCTTGGATTTTGGGGCCGCCATCTTGGAATTTTGCGTGGCTAACGTTATTTTTGAAAAGAGTGGGGTTTGAAGAGTATATGTACCAAATTTCATGCTTGTATAACAAAGTGAACGATTATTTCCTTATCTGCTCTGCTATTAGTTTCCACCACAGACGCCAGGATATCCACTTTCAGCTCGGAAAAGTTTCGAATCTTTCTAATATTTCTCCTCTTTCATGTTTGACCTCAGTGGGCGAGGCTTCTGAACCACGAATATTTAAGGGCGTAACATGTTAATGACGATCGATTTCAGCCGCTGCATTTAGATACGAACCCTTTCATAAATCTCACGTGTGTCCTATCGTATAATGAATCCTGCGCTCTGATCTGCGCTCAGTTCTACGCAAGATTGGTAAATGAGGACCATTGTGCTCTACCCACTCCTCTTTACACTTGCTTGCAGCCTAACATTGCTGGTGCAGTAGAAGAAGCAGGTAACATAGGAGCTATTCAGCTCTTGGACACTAATGTCTTTAGGGACATGATGAAAGTTAATATCATAGTTAGCTTTATTACGAGCATCGCAATCCGCTAACAGGCACGCTTGTTCTGCGATTGTCCTCTCTGCAATGCAATTTCGCAAAGTTTTCTCATGATATGTCCTGTAGCATCAGAAAAGTGCCATATGAACATGTAGACAACAAGAAAAACATGATGTTCATCAGAGTGGGTCTTTAAAGAAAGACATTAAAAGGCTGACTCCTTTACTAGAGGGAGGACAGTTAACACTCCGTTGGAACACAGATTGGTATTTCAGTCCTCCACAGGTTGATCAAGAAGAAATCCACAGAAATTGAAAGCACACTTTTTGTAGAAATAAATGTTGAACAACAACAAAAAAGAAACTCTTTGCTCTGGCACACAGGATATAGTAAACATATATTTGGTATACATATTAAAACATTTAACCTTTAGTAAAATAATTTAACAGCTAATAAACTCTACACATCTGTGAAAAACGGTTCAATTCAGCAGGTTGGTGCTGACATGCTGCCTCTCAGTGCACGATCAGTTTTATAATCCATTTATTTGGAAATAAGGCTAAATTTAGTTCATGTAATTTGGCTGATCTTATCTTTAAAGAACCATTAAAGAACTTTGTATTTTTCTCGATCAACCACATGTTACAATATTAGACAAACTGGACATCAATCAGTGGAGTGGATGAAACAGTGGATATTATAAATAACCAATTCACTCATAACTTTCTATATTTGATAAATATACAACATTATGGGTGAACTCTTTATGACACACTGAATGAATTATTCATGAACCTTTATTATAGGATAAAGTTGTGGAAGTTATGAAGATTAATGAAACCCATAATTCAAAAGACATAGCTGTTAGTTTTGCATTAAGGTTTAATCTATTATAAGTCATTATATGACATCATATTCACTGCTCATAACACTTTATAAACAATGTTTATAAGTTCTCATAAATGCCTAACACAGTATCACCAGTTTTCTCTGTGTATGATAAGTATTTTGATTACATGTTCCTAATAATGATAACATTGTATCTGTAAATAATAGCCGTAAAGCTTGATATGTGTTTACTCAGGTCTGGACCCCTCATGGTATGTACAGCACGTGGTGGTCTGGGACCCTCAGACTGACCACATGTTCTTCTTTCTGTTGGAGGACTGGCTCTCTGTGGATGATCTAAAGACCAGTGGAGTGGAGAGGGAAGTTTTAGCCTCATGTAAGCTGAGACAAATGATTTTACCACTTTGATTGACTGATGTACCTGACCCTCGTAGTTGTTGATTGATTAACAATTTTATCTCTAAATCAGGTCCCGAAGAGCTTCATCAGTTTCAACGGGTCCTTTTCTCCCAGCTGATGTTTGGGATGGTGGAGTACCACCTGTGGCTGTCCTTGTGGGGACGGCCTGCCCACAACCGTTTCACCAGGTGTCAGAGAGTCACCTGTAGTGCCCTCGTGCTGCACCTCTACATGGCTCTGGGCGCTCTCTGGTACAGTGCTGTGGGTACAGAGGGGCACAGGTAGGGTCGCATTTTCTTTTTGGGTGGTTTATGTATCATACAAAACTTGATGGTTTGAAAAATGATCTGTCTGTCAGACGCTCCTTCAGAGTTTTAAGGGACTTTTTTTCCTGTACCTCAGAGGTCCTGTCTCAACTCAGCTCCTGCTCAACATGGAGACGATTGCTGTGGGATTCTTTGTAGCATTACTGGTGTTTCCTCTCCATTGTCTTCTGTGTTTCCTGTTCAGAAAGTGCAACAGTCAGGTAATTTAAAATGTTGGAGAGCAACTTTTAGATCATTGTGCATTTCTTGCTAAAAATAACTCTGCCCTGATACAACATGACTCAGTTTGGTGTCTGGGTTTGACCATCTTGAAGCTTTTGCTCAGTTGAAAACTTTCAAAACAAATGTTCTCCTTTTATCCAATGATTGATATGAATTTTGTTAAATGCAGGTGGTCAAAGAAATCTCAGCTCCCTCTTCTCCTGTGTGTCACTCTGAGGAGATCTGCAGTCCCTCACTCCTGTCTTTCCCTGACTCTTCAGGCCCAGTGCAGGAAAGTGCTTTCTCTGTGAGAACACACACACACACACACACACACACACACACACACACACACACACACACACACACACACACACTTATAACAGTGACATCAACTGTTTGTTTTGTTAGAGGCATCAGCTAGTGCCCAACTGTCGGTCAAGTCTGCCGTGTCTCTGATTCGACAGTCTTATAACATTAAAACCAACGGGTTACAATAAAATTCATTCCTGTACAGTGTGTGCCAGAGAGACCTGAGATATTCCAACTAAAATGAATTTTTGAACCAGGCTGTGCACACATTTTTTTTTTTTTAAGTGTGTTTTTTTAAGACCAGAGGTTGCCACATGTCATAAAACAAAACACATGAAGAAGCAGCAGACACTGCTTTTGAGCTAGCAACTGCAGCTACCCTCTGAGAGATGATTTAACACTGACATTCAATGATTGATCGAGAATCCAAAAACTGCATTATAGCTTGTTTCTCTTCTATATATGTATATATATATATATATATATATATATATATGTATACATATGTATATATTGAGGCTGTCAAAGTTAACGCGTTATTGTCGCGTTAACTCAAGTGACTTTTATCGCCACTCATTTTTTTGACGCACGATTAACGCAAGCCTTAGCCTGGCTTGATCAAACTATGCACACACTGCGTGGATATTCTTGCCGTTGTAAAAGGGTAGAGGAACAGTTGGTGAGGTGTCCAGGCTATGTGAGCCTCGGAGCACTCCGTAGATCAGGAAGTAGAGCACTGACTGATACCACAGCAGACATAAACAAATCCCCGTGAGCAGTAACTAGGATATGATGGATAAGAACACAATTTTGAACAGAAAGTTCAGGTACAAAGCCTTGCCAGATGGCTCTCTTGACAGGACAAGAGTACCGGAGTACGTCTAGTCTCAAATATCACTTCTCGGCCAAGCACACAGCTGATGCAGATGCATCACAATTCGATTAATCGCGATTAAATATTTTAATCGATTGACAGCCCTAATATATATATATATATATGTGTGTATATATATATATATATATATATATATATAGAAGAGAAACAAGCTATAATGCAGTTTTTGGATTCTCGATCAATCATTGAATGTCAGTGTTAAATCATCTCTCAGAGGGTAGCTGCAGTTGCTAGCTCACAAGCAGTGTCTGCTGCTTCTTTATGTGTTTTGTTTTATATATATATATATATATATATACACACACATGATGATGTGTATATATATTAGGGCTGTCAATCGATTAAAATATTTAATCGCGATTAATCGAATTGTGATCATAATTAATCATGATTAATCGCAAATTGATCGCATATTTTTGATCCATTCTAAATCGATCTTTTTTAAATTGTTATACTTTTATCAACATAAGAATCAACATGAGAACAGATCGTGGATTTTCATGGTAATGGTGGTCCTACAAGGTAATTCATATGTCCAGTCATTGGATGCGATCCGTATGATTTCACGCAGACCAACGTCCTGCACAATGCTAATCGGCCGACAAGCGGTAGCCACCCATTTAGCGATTTCTGTTTCAAGTTTGCGTTTAGTAGAGATCTCCATCTGTTTACCTTGCACATTCAGCGTTGTTTGCTTGAGGCGGGCGGGGGGGCTCTCTGCATCAGCTGTGTGCTTGGCCGAGAAGTGATATTTGAGACTAGAGGTACTCCGGTACTTTTGTCCTGTCAAGAGAGCCATCTGGCAAGGCTTTGTAGCTGAACTTTCTGTTCAAAATTGTGTTCTTATCCATTATATCCTAGTTACTGCTCACGGGGATTTGTTTATGTCTGCTGTGGTATCAGTCAGTGCTCTACTTCCTTATCTACGGAGTGCCCCGAGGCTCACATAGCCTGGACACCTCACCAACTGTTCCTCTACCCTTTTACAACGGCAAGAATATCCACGCAGTGTGTGCATAGTTTGATCAAGCCAGGCTAAGGCTTGCGTTAATCGTGCGTCAAAAAAATTAGTGGCGATAAAAGTCACTTGAGTTAACGCGACAATAACGCGTTAACTCAAGTGACTTTAAGACAATAACTTTGACAGCCTTAATATATATATATATATATATATATATTTATATATATGAGTGATAGATCTTCTATTATAATGAATGATTTCTGTGTTTTCTGTAGTTGGTGGAGAGTGAGCTGCTGGACTCTAGTATTCTGGACTTCTGGGCTACATCAGGCCTGGTGGCTCAGACAGACGATAGAGCAAATCAAGGTGAGACATGGCAGTCCTGTGACAGCCTACTGAGTCTACCAGTAGACCCATGTCTCACCAAAACATCCCCACCAAAACAACTCAGCCTTAGCGAGACATCTCCTACTGTTGGCCCTTCACACCAGTTGAGGAGGAGAAAGGCTCTGATGCAGCCTTGCCGGTCTTCATCTTCACCCACTGTACCTACAACAGCTTCACGCTCTCTGGTCTGCACAGATCCCCTCTCTAAAGGCATTTTTAGTTCCCTGCAGTCTCCAACAACACCTGGCTCAAAGGTCTCTGCCTCAAACACCAACTCAGTGCAAACTTACAGCCACAATTTGACAACACTTCTTACTCTCTCTGGTGAGAAACTCCTGAATTTAACTTGGAAATTCAAATATTAACCTGAGGATGAATGTAGCTGATGAGGTTCCTGCCTTTTTTTATTATTATTTTTTTTTAAATCTGTTTTTATATCAATCCAAGAGGAGGATCTGCTAATGTCAATCGCAGCAGCATCAGAGGACGCAGCAAATGTGACAAACAGCAACTCAGACAGCGGCTGGGATTCTCCAAGAACCACTTCTCTATTATCACACACGTAGGGGTCTCTTTTTTTTCTAATCATACACATGACACTCAGATGCTGAGAACATTCCTCTCTATTAAGATGTTGCTTTTGTTCTTTGCAGCTGGAGTAGTAGCTGGTCCCAACAGAGTGAGGAGAAGTTGTTTTTTGGTGATGTCCATAAACCAGACCCACTGTCCTGCCCCTCCCTGACTGCTGCAGGACTCCAGAAGTGTCCCTCTGTGTTATCTGTGGACTCCGTAGCCAGCACCTTTCTGCCAAACCTGTCCACAGAGTCTTCCCACTCCTGTTCCAGCACACGGATTGGTACTAAACCTCAGAAACATCAAGATTGTATAATTTTTATTGTGATATTGTATTTTGTACACGGTTTGCATTTGCTTGTGTTATGAGGAACCCAAGAAGACTAGCTGATTGCTATGGCTTCAGCTAATGGGTATCCTTAACAAACAAATAAACAAATAAACACCTCTTCAGCTCAGGTGGCTGAATTCACCTGAGCTGCTGTAGTCAAATTCACAGAGGTGGGACATGAGTGGGTGTCCATCTTTGTTGGATTAGAGGGATATCGAAGTGGGTGTTATTTAACGTTCTGCAAAAGTAGATTATGATTCAGTGGTGTTTTCCCAGTAGTGTTGACAGATTCAGCTCACTTCTTAGGATTAGTATCATAAGATTTAACCCTTTATTTTCTTTATAAAGTGGTCCAACCTGACAATATATCGTTTTCCACAAGCTTTAGTGTGGCGTGTGGTGTATTTTGTGGACCCAGAAGCAGACACGGAGACAGATAGTAAATTAAAGATGTAATTTTAATGTCCAACTCAAGGGTAAAGGCACAAGAGAAAGTCCGGCTGGCTGGCTGGCTGCTGTGTGGGCTGGAGACACTGCGGAGAAAACAGAGGAGATGGAAGTGAGAAGGCATGCAAGGAATCACAGGGAGCAAAATTACTAGCACTTAGCCGAGGAGAAGGCCAGGAGAAGCGTCTGTACCACTGAGAAGTGAAGACAATACTCAGGCGCTGAGACTGAGGGCTGCTGGCTTCTTAAAGGGCCTTGATTGCAGATGCCGTGCAGGTGTGGAGTCTCACTCAGCCTCAGCGACCGGGGAGGGGGAGGGTGCTCTGAAAAAGAATCAAGCCAGACCAGGGAAACCAAGAAAAACAGGAAGTCCAACCAAAATAAAACAAGAGGAGGAGGCGTCTCACCACATTTAATCTATATTTTTACATATATATGAGTTACCTATTCAAAACGATCTTTTTTAGCATTAATGTTAGAGTGCTATGCTGGATATGAAACCAAAGTGGCATTTCACTGCAGTGAGCTGATCCAATAAACTCCTCAACAATGTTTTATGTGTGTAAAAAGATGAGCAGGAGGCTTGTTCTACAGTTTATACCACCATGTATTCACTGAGCAGGACGAGGATGAGTGTGGTCAGTCATACAGTTGGCTCACCACATCAGCTCATGCAGCACAAGGACAGCAAGTGACATTAGTGCTGAAGCTTGCTAGCTTGCTCATGCATGTGGGACACTGTTATGTGGACATTTTATCACTAATAAATGATGATAATGAGATAATAACACCAGCAGGACTCTTATGTATTACTGTACTACTAGAATAACTGTATTTAAAATCCATAAAACATGAATGTATGAGACCTAAATTCATAGATTTTGTAATACATTATATAACATATAAAAAGATTCATCATAACATACATTATTTTCTCTTTTAAATACCACATTAAGATCCTGCCAGAGTCTCTTTCGATCCTGGTCTGTGCAGGGTTTGTGATATCTGTGCTTATTTCTTGTGCTGCAGGTGTTGCTCGAGGTAAACCTGGCTGGCTGCTCCCTCACTGGGTGCTGTGTGTAATCTACCCCATGGTGTCATTGCTACTGGGAACATGCCTCACAGTGGTTGGAGTCTACGGCAGCTACATGTCCAGAACAGTAGTCACCATGTGGCTCATATCTGTGCTCTCTGCCTTCTTTTCCTCTGCTCTGCTGCTCGAACCCCTCAAAGTGAGTCCAAACCTCATCTAATGAGCACACCTCTCAGATACTGGGTGGATCTTTACTCTGGTTTGCATCTCCATCTATCTGCTCAGGTATGTATACAGTCTTTGATCAGCACAACGCTGTGGAGGCCTGTGGACCCTGAGGTGGAGGAGCAGCTGGCTCTGGAGTCCACTGTGGTGAGGGCATCAAGAGAGCATGGAGGAAATGTTCGACCACCATGTGGCTATGGGCTCCTTCAGGCTAAAGAGGAAGCCCGCAAAGTCAGAGCGCTGCAGTCACTCATGAGAGTAAGAATCAAACATGAAAAACAGTCAGCAGTGTTTTGTCTCCAGAAACATCTCTCTATTATCACTTATTTTTTGTTCATAATAAAAGAATCCCATGCCTCCTCTCTGTAGCAGTGTGTTTGCCAGCTGTTCTTTCTGCTGCTGGTGTTGATGGTGAACTACCAGGACAGCATGGAGAGAAGACAGGGCAGGCTGCTGCACTTGGCTGTCAGACACCAGCTTCATTCAGCACCCGTGGGAGTCCATAACCTTACCTCGCTGAAAGAGTAAGGGAAACACTTTGCTCTTAGCTGTCAAAACACTAAACCACACCAGACACAGTCACACACTGAATAATCAGGGGAGAAAACCTTCAGTGTAGGAGGTGTCAGCTAGACAAACTAGGATGCAATATTTTGGATGTGCTCATAGTGTCCTCTGAACAACACCATAACATAATGGGCCCCATTTAAATGTACAGTCTAATGAACATGGTGCAAAGTGAATCAGGGCGTGTCTGACTGCTGTCTGGTTGCAACAAAAAGTGGGTTGTAAGTGAGGAGGAGGGTGATGAGAGGTCAGAGTGTTTTAGATGTAATGTGAATCCAAACCAGTTAGTATGTCTACTCGTATTCCCTTTAAGGGACAGGAGCACCTGCAGGCTGAGGTTTTACTTACATAGTGGACAGAAGTCTTTGTATTTGAAGATATTAAGCTTCAGCAGCATTTGAACTTCTGTACTGTACCTCTAAAAAGACAGAAAACACCTGTATGTGACTTATGTGAATGCTTGGATTGCTGTTAAAGCTGATGTAAGGAACTTTTGGCTTAAATTCATGTTCGCTCCCCATGTGGGTAAGATGATACCTTTGTATTTCATGCTCAGTACATGTGAAAGTAGTGCATCTAGACAAAACCTCATCCCTTTGTCTCCAAACAGGGAAATGTTTCACTAACTGAAGGTAAATGTCATGGAAGAAAGTAAAAAAGGCCTGCTATCAATGAGTTGGTCTGAGAACTTAAACAAAATACAATAAAATAAACACAGAGAGTATAAACCACGATATGGCATGCATAATGGAAACTGTTCAGTATATGTCAGTATCTGTGTCTGTGGCTGTGGCCTGAGGTTTTATTTAATGTCAGCAGTGATGGGGACTGTCAAGTTTTGTGTGTGAGTGTGACTGTGTGTATCTGTTTCTAGAGAGTGCGCATGATGGAGAGCTTAGGGACAGTTTTAGTCAGGAGTATTTGGCCTGTGCAGGGCTGAGGTGTAGCAGGTGTGTAAGGAGATAGTCACAAGGGTGTCCTCTGGTTCTAGTATTTGGAGATGGTCACCATACTGTATCCTGGTGTACATAGACAAAGAAAAAACACTGGTGTATCCCCATTGAGCTTCAGTTTCACTATATCAGGAAAAAGCTGATGTCCTTGAGAGTGTGAGCTCTGCTGAGCACTGTGAAGGTGCCTGACCATGCCTCCTCATAAAACCAACACAAAAAAATCACAAGTGTTTCATTGTTAGGCTGCACACCAAATCACTTTGCAGCAGGTGTCCAATGTTTTTGCATCTTTTTCTTTCTGACTTGTAAACACACTCATTGCTTATCTCCTGTCATTTTTTTCTTCATATAGCTGGTCAGATGCAGAACAGTGGATCAACCACACTCTGGTGCCACACCTACACCAGAGCCCATCACTACAACTTGTAGGATTGCCTCAGCTGCAGTACACACTCGCCCTTAGTCCTTTGGCAAGTTACTTTTGGGTGGATCACAATGCAACAAACAACCTGCATGAGCCAGAACGCAGCAAAAAACAGTGAGTTGATCAAGAGACTGCAGTTCTGAGAGGGGCACAGTGTTAATTCATTTTCTGTCTCACTTATCACTCACTTAAAATTTTCTATATAATTACTAATGATAAAGCAGACCAGCCTGTTAATTAAAGCAAAAACAGGAATACAAAGACACTTTTTTAGCAAAGAGAGGAAGGATTATAGAACCGTATTAGATAACCTCTCATCCAGGTTGTCATATTATCTTGAATTTTTGTACAGGACTGTAAACTTCTGTGGTGATTTCATGCATCATCTCAAACCTACAGTGTATAAGATGGAATCTAAACTTTCAGAGACACAACAGGGGTGAAATGTTTTTAATCCGTTACTACAGTCAATCGATTAATTGTGAAGTAAAAAGGTGTGGTAATTTTTTGTAGAAAATATCTGTGACTGAAAACTGTATTTTATCTCTGACTCTGAGCGTTTTTCTTTTTCATGTAATCTTCATCCCAGGTTAAAAAGTCTGTCGATCCACTTCACCCTTGCCCACAGGGAGTCTGCTATATTTTTGTGTGTGTCCATACATCTGGATTGGGCTCAGACACATCAAGTCACTCCCTTTCTTTCCATTCATCCATTCCTCATCCCTTCAACACAACATGGATTGGACCTGCAGACTGCACTTATGGTAAAAAACACTGACATCTTTTCACTGGTACACATATTTAAAAGCTGTTTTCAGGAACAGTTAATCCCACTGGCTTTCTGCTGCAGGTTCTCCTCCTTATCTCTGGCCTCCTCCTCTTGTTTGGAGAGCTGAGGTCGATATCTGCTGAGAGTGCCGGCTGTTTGTATCACAGCCTTTTCCAGCTTTTTTTGGCCTTGTTGTCCCTGGCAACGGCCATCTTATATTTTTGCTTCCTGTCCCTGGCCACCTCCTCTGTTTCAAAGGTAAGAAGAGACTATTTTGATCTTAGAAATAAAGCCCTAATTTCTTTGTCCAGAAGAGCATCTTTGTCCCTGTTGTTTTAGTTTTAGAGGGCAATTTAGAAGATAATGTTTTGTTTTGATGAGGACCTTACAAAAATCTGTATGTCATTTAGCCCTGGTCCTACCCAAACGACTCCATAGACCTCCACAGTGCTGCTCATCTATCGCAAATGTGCTCTCAATGTGCAGCTGTTCTGCTCACTCTACTCGTTCTCCAGGTAAACCACAGCTTCTCTGAGTTTCTTCTCTCATTCTGCCACAGATTTCCCTCTCTATTCAAAAGGTCTGATAATTTCTGCTGTTTTCTTCCAGCTGCTGGGAGCCTTCAGGTTTGTGCAGAGATGGGTAGTACTGGGCAGGGTGCTGCAGAGAGCCTGGAGGGAGCTGTGGGCTCTGGCTGTGCTGCTACTCTTACTGCTGCTGCTCTGCACTCACCTCAGGAACATTGTACGGGAAAGACTAACAGCTGAATAACACATCCATACAGGGGAGCTGTGTTTGATATGCATATGTCTTTGTTTCAGCTTTTTTCTGATTCACTGGAAGGTTCCTTGACAGCGTATCAGAGCAGAGTCTCAGTGCTTTCGCTCCTCTGCAGCCGAAAAACTCGCCAAAGAGTGTACAGGGTCCACACTATCCTGGGCCCCTTTTATGGGCTACTCATTGTGATTGGAGGTCTTTGGCTCTTAGCCAGACTCTGTGGAGCCGTTCTTATCCATGCATACAGGTACAGTGTGTGTGCACAATATTTATAGTGATATGGCGGGTTAAATATTTTCTGTTTTTAGTAAAGTATCATCAGATGAATAAATAAGCAAGATTTTCAACTCTTGATCCTCAACTTCAATCCCTAATCCTTGATCGCTGACATTTCCTGAACTAAACAGATGATCAAATTCTACTGAAAAGTCAAAGATGTTTAGTGTAAAAGCCAAGAAAATCCCATTCCAGTGTCCTCCAGAAATTCAACATGGGAAGATCTGCTGCTATAAAAACTTAAAAACACATGTTACCAGTTTATTTGGCCACAGGTTCTGACTGTAACCCAGATACACAGGGAAAATCTGCTTCATAACCGAGGATGTGGATGTGATGGTTTCACAACCACTACAGATACAAGAGCGAAGGGTTATGAAGCGGTGAAAAAACAAACATAAAAAGTGAATTATTTTCCATTCACAATAGTATATCCCTTCCTGAAACCATTACTTTAAAACCCCTGTCCTAATTTGTTGATTCAAATTCAACTGTTTCAAAGAGTTGCTTCATCAGTTCACTGTTAACTTCAGCAGAAGTGCTGGGTCCTTGTCTCTGCTTTTGTTTCTTGTGGAGGCCAGTCCACCAGAAATCCATCCATTCCTCTTTGAAGTTGGAACTAGAACTTTTTCAGTCTATATACCGGGAGTATGTTTAAAAAAGTGGAGCTTTTGTGGACTTCTGAAAGATCATGGGAGATCATATCATGGTATGCTTGCTGAACTAACAGGCTATTTCCTTTAACTCAGCTGCCGTCTTGAATGACCACTGAGATCATATGACAACATTGACTAGCTTGGTTGCAAACACACATCTGTTAACCCTTTGCAGAACAATGAGAGATTGATTGTGGTTTAAAATGGGCAGTGTGCATAAATGAGCTAATGATCTGCTATGAAGGCTAACATAAAGTTTCCTACACCCTTAAGGGCAGAGCAGGCAGAGTTGTACAGACCTGCCATTGGCCCCCAGGACTATGAGATGGTGGAGTTCTTCATCAAGAGACTCAAGCTGTGGATGGGACTCACTAAAGCCAAAGAAGTAAGTCATGTTTTAGTTTTGGTGTGTTTTTGACTGTTTTTAAAGCTCTGATTCTAACTGCATAAATTGTCTGTCTTTGTTTAGTTCAGGCACAGAGTGAAGTTTGAAGGGATGGACATGTCCCCCTCCAGGTCCTCACAGGACTCCCGTCTCTCCACTCGGTCCCCCGTCCTCTCCTCCCCCTACTCTCCATCCATATGCTCCTCATCCTCACCTCAGCGTCCTCTGTCCTCAGCTCTCTCTGTCAGGTCAGAGGACTCTTCAGTTTCTGAATCTGGAACCAGCGTCCAGCCTTACTTCGACCACCTGCTGCCCTGTGTCACATCACTGCTGTCTCATTTTGACCAGGTCAACCAGATCACTGAGGATATTTATGACCTGGAGAAAAAGCTGGAAGAGGCTCAAACAAAAAGAAGGGAGAGGTTGAGGAGTGACAATCCAAAAAGGTCAGAAAAAATAGGTGATTTAGCAAATCCAACGATTCTGGAAACAGGAGAGGGAGAACACAGAAAGGCAGGTTTCTTTTACTCCAGACCGAGAGTTTCCCTCCCATCAGCGTTGGCTGTCACTCCCTACAAAGTTCAAAACTCCTCTGCATCAACTTGCATCTTTCCCCGAACACGTAGTGCCCACTCTGAGTCAGACTCCGTACCATACCAGCTTCAGCTGTCCAGAAACCACCACACTTTTGAAGCAGCATCTGAAGACTGTGGTTCACATCCTGCAGCTTCACCTGGATTCATTAAGTCTAACAGGAGAAGAGCTTGGCATTCAGGAAGTTCTTGTTCAGCTGATGCAGTTCAGAGGAGCTTTCTGACACAGGCTGGAGTGAGTACATGTGGAAGTAGAGGAGAGGATGCAGTACTCACCAAGAGCAGACCGAGCAGTGAACAAGGAATGACGAGTAACATCAGAGATGGAGTCCCTGTGAGGAGGAAGGCCTGGATATCAGAGCAGTTAGAGACTGAGATCCACTGAATATGTGCCATGATGAAACTTTAAATAACTCCTGTTAGCTTGTCAGCCCTGATTTTACTTCTGTTGTATTTAAAGTTAAACACAAGTGTTTATACCCCTTTGACAATGCATTTGTAATGATTATGGGTCCCCTCTCTTAGCTGCTCAGTCAGACCACTCAGGTTATGGTTTGAACTGTCTATTGCAGGAGAAGCAGCAGAGCATTTGTAGGTTTTCACATGTAGATATGTCAAAGTGATGAGAGGATATCTCAAACCCTCAGCTGGAGCCTGTAGGTGGAAACTGTGGTGATGGTTCTGAAATGTGAACAGCAGCAGAAATCTTGCAGCTGAAAGCTCCTAAAAGTCAGAATGATAGTTGTTTTTTATCAGAGGACACTCTGAACAAAAGTTACTCACAGGTGCTTGAGCACTAAAACAGGAGGATGTTTATGTCATGGGATTCTGAGGATGAGGCTACAAAGTGCAAAATCAGTGCCTGCCTGAACTAGCTCCCAGGTTTTTGTTCCATTGGATGAAAAACAAAACAGAAATAAACCATGCTTCAATAAACTGTAGTTTGTAAGTTGTCGTGTGTTTCATTTTTTGATAACAGGATAACTATGTTTCATTTCAACATTACATGTGCACTTGTGTTTTGGTTCAGTCTTTCTCATCCACTTTGGCTCAGTCAAATCCATTCTTTTCAAACAGTGAACTCACAAAATTTCTCCTTTATTGAGCAAACTACAGTGTTTTGGTGCATCTGTGCTAATTCTGTACAAATCTGCACAAAAACTGTTAATATATGGCTCCCTTATTCAAACTTATTGGTTGAATCTTAAAAAAAAAAAAGTCTGACACTGAACAACTTATTAACATTCTTACATTGTTTGAGTATTACATATAATTTATTTTATCCATTTGATTATCACAATCTGTCAGACACATCCTAAAGATGTTGGTTCTGCATTCAGGCCTGTATGCTGTGACTTCTGGACCATCTTTCGTCTGACTTTGGTCCCCTTCTGAACCGCACCTCTCAAACAGGCCGGTAGCCCAGACCTTCGGTGAACTTGCTCCATCTTCTCCAAGGACCAGCCTCACTTCAGTATCCAAACCTCCGGAGCACTAAACAGGCCTGATGCGGTCTCACATGTTCAAGATTCAAACAATCACTGATTTGAGTAATCCTAAATTCATCCAAATCCACATGCAAATTCATCTTTTAACCAAAGTTAATGTAGGTTAATATGTTAGAGCATATTCACTCACTATCATTAACATAAGTAATCCAAGCCTGACTCAGAATCTTTTATTATTCACCTATTATTATTTATCCTCATTATCTTATCATTTATTGCATGTATGTTGTACCATCATTTGTCCTGTTATAAACAGATCATAATTTTTCTAAGTCCTTGTCTGTTAGTGTTCTTCCCGAAGTGGAGGCCCTGAAATGACAATTCCAGCTTGAGATATGAGATTAATTTAAAATTGATTTAAGATTGGCCTAATGTTTTTTGGTGCCCCTATCCACAAGTGCCTAAATGTAATTTTTTAAGATTATTATCAAATATTAATCTTAGGACATTATTATGAATTCAAATCACTACAGTATTTAGGTTACATTCACACAGAACTTAATACAATAGAGTTTGTAACCAGCCACCATCAGTTTCTGGATGTCTGTCTCAGTGGAGGTATGAGGGCGTATCACCTTTACTACATATCACTATAATCAAACATTCCAGTAAAAACCTGTTCTGTGCCAGATTTCCTCATACACCTGGCTCACCTCAGATGAACCCGGACAACTGTCGTGGTTAAAAGTACAGCCAGACACATCAATCTATAAATATGACTTTTCATGATGCTGGAATGTCTGATTTGAAGTCATAAGGAAGAACAGGTGTCACTCTGGCTAGGTAAGTGTCTATCTGAAACTGTGACCTTTTTTTTCCTGTATCTCCAGCACTGTGATCTGTTAACAATCACTAACGTGCTGCCAAGAGTCTGAGACCTGACTCTGAGTTTTTTTTTTTTTTTTCAGAATTAAAATGGCAGAAAAGTCAAAACAAGGCAAAGTGAGCAGAGAAGTCACAAGCCACCGTGACTGGATGTCCCAACTACCATTGGAACTTCATGGCGTTCCTCTTTTTAAGCTTGCTTTACCAGGTAAGGGGCTGAAATAATGCTGTGTCTGACTCTGATGCTCCACTGATGTGTTCAAACTTTATTCTTGGATCCATTTTTGCATGATAACAAATCCACAGTCATAACTCCATGTGTACGTGTAGAAAAAATTGTCTGTTAGTCAACCTTATCTGCTTGTAACAGAGTATAAATGTGCACACGACATCAGCAGTTGTGACTAATGTTCACATGCTGCTTGGCCACTACTTGGTGAGGGTACAAATCTGTTGTTCCAGCAGTAATTTGATGTATGTGGTAACCTGGAAGAGCCTCAGGGTCAGCTGTGATTTTTGTACATCTGCTGCAAACAAAAAGAGTTCTGTTTAAAGTTTGAGGGGTTCTCAAAAAGGTAGAAGCTGTGATGTGCTAACGTTTAAGAGTATTACATCTACAAAGAAGCAAAATTAAAACACACAAGGCTGTTTCTGAATGATCTCTAGTGCAAAGTACAACCACTGGACACAAAAAAGTTGTGCTATTTTGCTCTAAGCAACAGCCTCTGGTCTTAAAGAAATGAAGCTGTTGCTAAAACTGCAGTTCCCTGTGTGCCTGCTGGAGACTCTGTACAGAAACATAGGTAACCACATCCACACTAATTAAAAAGACCATTTTTAGAGCACAAGTAGACAAGTTTACAGCCTGGTTAAAAAACAGCTCTGGTCTGAGGACCTCAGAGGTCCCAGGGCATCCACTGCACAAGAGTGAGTTTTTTGCTTAAGTGTTTGTTTCAAAGTTATGAAGATCACATGCAGGTTTGGCAAAACAGAGGCTGAATGGACTGACAGGTACATTGTAGCCATTTGTGAGGAGGTTAAAGACTGGCCTCCGGTAGTTTAACCAAAAGTTAGGTTGAGTAAGTATTACCAACATGACAACAGTTGCCAACACCAGCAAAACACCAGCAAAACACCAGAAAACGTAGGCAGCAAACATTGGCTTACTTCATTTCTGCAGGACTAGCAGCATTTAGGTGCATCTCATAAAGAAAACAGTAACATAACGCAAGGAAATGAGAGAAACAAAAACTTCCCCTCTGCCTTGTTAAAAAAAAAAAAAACTCAGTATGAATGCATCACTACACTTGCCTCTGTCCACAGGAGTTTTCAGAATTGACAGAAACTTGAGGTTCCTCACTGGAGCTTTAAGATTTATTTATTCAGATTTATTTATTTATTCAGGGTGTATGCATCTTAATAAATGCAGCTGTAAAAAACAAAGCTCTGTTTGTTTGTACATACTCAGCTTTCTCAGTCACTACAGTGAGAAATAAGGACATTTAAAATCATTATATGTCTAATTGGACATCGGTAATATAATCAGCAGTTTACGGCTGTCCAGAAAAGAAAAAACAACAACAAAAAAAACAACAAACAAATACTGCATGTTTAACATTATAGATTGTATGTGTTTGTGTATCTCTCCTTCAGGTAGCCACGACTCAATGAGCTATGATTTGGACATCAACTCCTCCATAATAGAGCCTGATAGACTGAAAAGGTTCAGTAGAATTTACTGTGCCCGTAGAATGGTACTCAGGTGGGCAGTCACTCAGGTAAAGAGTGGTTCAGACCTGTCAGCATTAAATGTAGGCCCTACTTTTGTTTATATGAACAAAAACTAGACTTTCTTCCAATCCAGGAGGAGACCATCACAAAACAACTGGATGCTGGTGTTCGCTACTTCGACATGAGGGTTGCTCGCAAGCCAAATGACCCCAATCCCACAAGGCTTTTCTTTTATCACGGCCTGTACACACGGACTGATGTGGAGGTAAGGCTTAAAAGACCCTACAGTCCTTCTGACTGGCTGTCTTTGTAGGGGAGACTGGGGGGCAGTTGTTACATTTTTTACATTTTCCCTCATAACCCACAAGTTTTTGAAATACAACTGTAATCTTTTTAAGACACATGTAAATTTACACTATAAAACTTATCAGTGTACAAACCCCAATTACAATGAAGTTGTGTAACAACTAAGTGTTATTAAAGCAAAGATGATGTAACACAGCAGAAAACATGACCCTAGACTAACTTTTTAGGAAGGTATTATAGCATCAAATTAGAAATTAGTGAAAATTTACAAAACAAACATACAAAAAACAATCAGGTTTATCAGTTTGAACATTATGTATCTTTGTAGGTTATCCAGTTGACTTTGGGTGGAAAGGCATTAGAAAATCACTGTTTTCTGTTTTTATTCCAGTTTACACATCCCAACCTAGCTGGAGTTAGGGTTTGTAAAAAAGAGCTACAATGGAGGAAATGTCTATGATAATGCTGCTGTTGTGCTCAGTCTGTTCTCAGGATGGTGAATGAGTGGGCAGAGACACACCCCAAAGAGATCCTCATCCTGGCTTTGTCTCACTTTAAAGAGATGGATAAACATCTCCACCAACATCTTATTAACTTCATCAAGACTTTGTTTAGGACTAAACTCTTCCCTCCAAAGGTATCCTCAGCTGCTTTCTTTCAGTCCAGTCTGAAATAACTCTTATTGATGTCAGGATAAAAGAACAAACTACTTTTTCAATGTTTCTCAACAGGAAACCCCTACCCTGAAAAGTTGCTGGGACAAAGACAGAAACATCATAGTTTCATATGATTATCAACATCATCAGGCTGAACTCTGGGGTAAAATCAGATATTTCTATGGAAAAAGCATGAATCCAGCAGAAGTTGAAGCAGAGCTCACCCGTGTCTTGGAAAAGTCAAGACCTTCAAAAGGTAAAAGTTCCTGCCTTTTCAGCTCAGTGGGTAAGATCGTCTATAGGGTGTTTAGATCAGAGTCATTATTCATGTGTCTCTGTTTTATGAGATGATTTGTGCACTACAACCCTAACCTGCAGGTTTCTTTGTATGTGGCTTGAACCTGACGCTGCCCGATGATGTGAGGATACTTAGGTACATCCTTCGCCTGTGTGACAACCTCGCCAACGTGATACAGCGGAGCCTCCCCAGGCTGCTGCAGTGGGTGGAGGACCAGGCTGCCAAAACTCCAGTGAACATTATTGCCTCAGACTTGGTGACTCGTGACGACTTTGTCTCGATAATCATCAAACAGAATATTCAAAAAAACTGGGAAGTATAGACATCATCACATCTATTTTGGTTTTCTATGGTCATCTATAAGATGAAAAGGTCCAACAATTGTTGACGAAGCACGTGACTGTTTTTTTCAACTCATGAATACATTTTAAGAAATAATGCGAGAGTTAATCATGTGTGTCAACACCTTAAAAAACAGTCTGAAAAAAGTCTCCAGTCTTCCATTCTGCTGAGGGTACCCTCCCTAGTGAAGATATTTTCCATAAAATAATAACATTTAACAAATTACTCCAACTTAATCATGAAGTGTCTATTTCTTTTGTCTTTTAACCTCTGTGTTTCATGAAGCAACTCACAAGATATGAAAATGCTTGTCTTGTTGGCTTGTTTGGTCTGTGCTCCTGTGGACGCTTGTCAAATATTGACCCTCCTCTGTGTTCCTTTCATCAAACTGAGAATGAAAAAAGAAATCAATGCAGAAATTGTTTGATTTGGGTTCTTTGGTGGTGAGGCACCTCAAGGATTACATTTTTCACCAATTTATTGGTTTTGTTTGTAAAACTTCTTTGGCACACACTTAATTTTTATCACAAAAACATCATATGAACATGTAAACTCTAAATCCACACTGCACTGACAACCGAAGCTTTTTGTGGTAAATTGAATGAATGATTCTTTGATTTTACTTTCTTGATATTTTTCCCTTTCATTGACTTTGTTTTCAATTTAATTTATATATTTATGATACATGACAAGCTGACAACCTTATTTCTACAGTTGAAATGAATTGTTATTTCAATTTAATTGATAATAAAGTTAATAAAACTTTAAAACAGCAGCAGCTTTTGGCAAGCTGGTTGTGGCTGCCCTGTGATAATACACTTTTAAAAACAGACATTTATCATTAGGGGAGACCGAGGCTTGTTGTCACATGGGTAAGTTCTTACATTTTATTATCTTTGCCACCAGAGGGCGCAACTAAAAAGTGGAATACTAGTTTTCTTTCTTTACATGGTCAGAGGTTGTGTCCTATCTGGGAAGAGAAGAGCACATTGTGAACTGAGATGAGCGCCCATTAACCATTTTGCACAACCCAAAGTAAAAGAAAATAACTTTATATATTTTAAATTAAGCTTCTTCCAGATAAAAATCCTTGCAGTGGTACATGTGGACTTGTTAGAGGAGAAATTAAGGCATCCTGTCATACCTCAGTCATGGTTCTGTTTTAAGATAGCTTTAAGCTACAGCTAGATTTAGCAAACATGGTAGTTTGGGGCAACGTGTCTCACTCATTTTGGGGTTAGTTGTCACATGTTTTAAAGGGATTAAAATTAACACAGAGAGTCTGCTTATCAGCAGTTGTCATATTGAAATTTTGACTTTATTTTTGCAGAGAACAGAGTGGTTTAAAAGAGAGGAGAAAGCGTAAAGACATGGTCAGGAATTGCAAAAGAAAAAGAGAACATGGCAGTGCAGTTCCTGATGTGATGCTGAAGACAGTCAGGCAGGTGACCCTAGCTAATAAATCAATCTGGAGTACTAAAAGGACTTTAATGTCAACTACCATACCTCTGCTTAGTACTGCGAAACATTCACCCCAGCCGAAATACAGAGTCAGACAGATCTCCAAACTTCAGAGAATGTTGCACAATACTTTATATTGATGTTTGTTTAATGGTTTAATGGTTTAATGGCTATGTTCAAAGACTTTTTCTAGCTCAATGATTAACATTTTCTTTGCCTGACTTTAACGTTCACTTTCATGTAAAAGAAATTGTAACAATAATTTTGTCCTTGTTTTATTAGTTTTAAAATCCACTGTGACATCTTACCTCATGTAGTGAGACAACTTACCTCATGGTGGGGCAACATTTCATATGTTTACACTCTCTATTTGATTGCTTGTAACTCTGCACTGACACATGATATAAAAACTGACATGAATATGAAATACTAAATATATACCTGAGCCTTTGATCTGTCATCAGGTACACATTTTGTTTATATATGATGTATTGATTCCAAGAAATGTATGAGTGTAAAAAGCAGGGCTCTCAAGTCTCACGCATTCAGCGTGTGACACACGCATTCCCACCCGTTCACACGCCACAAATTGTATTTCTCACGCATTTAAATGAACATGGTGATGTCCACCAAGTTGCACCTCTTTAACTATGGAACAGGTAGGAATCAACTGAGTTCCTCCGAGAGTTCAGAAGCTGCGTGCCACGCGCAAGCCAATCAAATAAAGTATATCTACTGAACAGCCAATAAAAAAGCAGCATTGCTGTATCCGGGTAGATTTTGATATCTTACGGTTTGACTACAGAAGAAGACAGACACTCGCCGTAATAGAGCAGGTTTTTATAAGGACGAGATAGACCCGATGATTACAGTAAGTCAGTAACCTACACATGCAGAGACCTCAACACCTCATGGCATATAAACTCATATGATAAACTAAAGCCCTATGCTATTGCTATTAACAGCTGTATTGACGGATTTAGCCTCTGTACAGCCATTTCCCCCTCCACAAAAGCAGCATTTCTGGTATATCTCAAATATAAGTTCTGATACTCATGACAGTGTAATGCTCATGTACCAAAGGATTAAGTATCTCCATGTTTGTGAAACCTATACTAAAGTACAATTCATCTAAATGCTCCACAGTGCTTATTTTAACAACTCTCCTTCACAACAGGTAACTTTACGACTTAATACTTATATATTAATGACTTTATTCTCCCAAATAAAAACTTTATTCTTTAAGATTTAAAAACGCTTTTTTTTTCTAATTGTGCCCCTTATACTCCGTTGTATTTAAGAGATACCCCCCCCCCCCCCCCAAGGAAATCTCACTCTAAGCTTAGTTCAAAACTTGAGAGCCCTGAAAAAGTGTGACAACAAGCCCCAGTCTCCCCTAATCAAAATACTAAACCTCAGATCAGAAATTCTTTCTTACTTTGAGATTTATATGTGTTTTAATACTTGACGCAAATTCATGACACTCAGATAATTTGATCAATGCATAAGATTATTTTAAAAACTTAGTCACCAATATGTTAATCTATTGTTACAACCAACAAACGGGGATTAGCCATATTGAAGGAATCTGTGCTGTAGGCGTGCCTTTTCCGCGTCAATTTTCAGTATCGTTAAAGGTGTTCATGTCACGCAGGGAAGTTGTAGCTGTTGACGGCATGTAGGGTGACATAAGGGCTGTAGAGACTTTGGCAGAACAGTTCGTGGATTAGGATGTTTAGACTGGCATGGCGTCGGTCGGCGTCCCCAAGTAGCTGCGTGGAGCATGCACGCCATTCCACGGTAGTATATCTGAGAGCTGACTGTGCACAGCATAACACAAGGGGTAACATCTCAAGCCCACCCGGACAAAGCCCCCACCTTTCAAGCTTCAAGTACCCACTTCTACAATTCCGGCCGGCCTACTACGTCAGGTAAAGCCACCACAGCTAAGAGGCTGCTATCTGCTAACGCTAATGTTAGACATGCGCCACTCTAACAAGAAGCAGCTAATATGTGTACCCCTGATTTTGCAACAGAAATACTGGTCTGTCACATGCTGTTAGGTGTCTGTTGCTTACCACATGGTCCTTGTTGCGATGGTCGTGGACGTGCCCCCCGGGTGAATAACTTCTGTAGACTTAAGCGAAACTCGGTTAGAAAATAACACAAATCACCATGCCCCTGTCATTAAATATCACAAATAACATGTCCTTGTGAGTGGAGCAAATTGACGAAAGGACAATCTCTCTGCTTTTAATTCGGCGTGACTAATGAGCCACCAAGAAGCTGTAAAGTACAAAAAATTAACTGTCTGTATCAAGATTTGTTCCGTAAACTTCCCTTGTGGATATCAGTGCAGAAAATCGCACGTTTAGCGGCTTGACTTTTGGATTAAAGCAAAATACAGGAAGATACTGTCATATTTTGTGCCGTATTTTAAGAAATACTTTAAAAAGTCCGAAGCAGTGGTCAGGAATTTTCATTGGGCATAAGCACGAACCCATAGGCAAGATCACCTTAAATATGGTGAAACTCAAACGGGATTTTGTATGTGTACCTATGGCTGGGTCAATGACGTGTAAGGTTTTTCAACATGCCAATTTTAAAATACCAAAAATAAGAATATCTTTTGCAACAGTTCAAACACTAAGGATGTTATGTATACAAAAATTAACGTTAATTTTTTAAATTCGGCAATTTTACTGTTTTTTCATATAGATGAATTGCCCGTGGCCTTGAAAAATGTCGTGGTGCGACCATCATTGATCTCAAAATTATTACATTTTGTCAACATACTCTAGTTTTTTACAAATTGTCAGTAATATCAAGTAAATAGGAACACAGCGTTTACATTTTATTTAAGTTTTTGTAAATAATGATCTCATTTATTAGCTTTATAATGTCACAGTCGCTATATTAAATGTAGTTGACTATTTTTTTCCTTTAAATTGCATAATACTGATAAAAAATGATTTGAAACTACCTTTCATGTAAGCATATTGTAACAGGTATTAATGTCTCAGTTACAGAAATTAGATATTTTAGTTTGTATTTGATATAGTTAATGTTATTATTGGTCGCACCACATGATTGGTGGTCACGCCAAATGACCTGAAGACCTTGTATCATTAAAAATCAATTTAAAGAGACCTATGAACAATTAATTTCATGCAAATTTTATGTTCAAACCAAATTTTATTAACATTTCAAACATGAACACAAACATTTCATTTAATTTTTTTGACAAAAATTTAACTGTGTGTGTGTGTGTGTACATGGCCCAGAGGCCTGTACTACAAAACTGGATTAACACACCCAGCATAACTCTGCCATAACTTGCTCAACTTCACCAGATCTCTGTAATCCCGATCAGCTGTACTACGAGGCAGGATATCAACTCGCTAACTAAATTCAGTTGTGGCTCTCTAGATCTGTGCGCGCACACGTAAAGGGGGTGGGGTCAGTGCCACCGGACCAATCTCCACAATGGAGAAGGCTGCACGTCACATTTCACAGCCG